AGCTGTCACCAAAAATGGAAAGAAACACCTACAAAGACATTCTTAAACGTCAAACTATAAAATGAAAAGGTCACAAAAAGGAGCATTAGATTATGATAGCTTTAAAACTGCAGTGCATCATTTTCAGTTTGTGCAGTTTAAGACATTTCACGTAAATTCTGCTGCAGGTCTTCATCTGGTGTTTTTGTTCTTGTAAATCATTTTGTAGCCCCTGTTTAGAAAGCACGTTCTATCCAATACTTCTGCTGGTATAATGTTGTTTCTTTTACTATCTTTAGAGTATGTTTCCTCTTGATTTTTTTACATTTTCATCTCAAAAAGAATAAAAGCAATCTGGTGCAAGCATTATCATCTTGTGACTGTTAAATGAATGTGCTAATGATGTATTGATGTTAAAATACTGCATGAACACAACAAAAGGACAGCTTATACTGTAATTAATTTCCACTTATGGCAGAGAGCATGAAGACAGTCGCTTAGAAAAGATGCGTATTCAAAACAAAGGGGATAACAGGAAGTTAATAGAAAGTGACAGAACTAAATGGACTCGTGATTACAACTGCTGATGGAGACAACTGTTAAAGTGTCATTAGGACCTCACACACAGACAAAGCCCAGCCAGCACCTCAGCTGTTTGTTGCCATGTGGGTGTCAGAAGCAGGCATTAGTGGTCCAGAGGTGTGCAAACCACACAGGGGGAATTAAATCCTCCTGTCGCCACAAAGTGACCCAAGGAAAGAGAGGGTGTTAGGTGTCATCCTCCTGTCAGAGTTTTATTTGTTCCTCTCTCATTTTGACTCGACCAAAAGAGGAACACAAGAACCATATGGTTCACATGAGGAAGGAGAAGTGTTTTTCACAAATAGAGCTCCTAGGAATGGCACTTTTTGGGCAGTTCACACTAAAAGCTGTGTGACAGTTTCACAGTAGACCACAGAGGATGTCACCTTTTCTATGTTTGCTCTGTATCATCAATCAGGTTGGTCAGCACTGCCCACAAATCTACAGGATTAAGATCAGGGCTTTGTGATGGCCACTCCAAAACACTGACTTTGTTGTCCTTAAGACACTAATGTGGTGGTATGCTTAGAGTCATCGTCCATTTGGAAGTCTCATTTCCATTCAAGCTTCAATTTCCTGGCTGATATCTTGAGATGTTGCTTTAATATTTCCACATAATGTTCTTTCCTCATGATGCCATCTATTGTGTGAAGTGCACCAGTCCCTCCTGCAGCAAAACATCCCCACAACATGATGCTGCCACCGATGCTTCCAAAGCCATGACATCATCTGGGCTTTCCCAAGTAGTTTGATGACATAGTAATCTTTGTGTATGTAAACTTCTGACTTCGAAGAAACTTAAATTTCTTTTTTTTGAATTAAAAAAAAATCTCTAAAAAAAATTCTCTCTTTCATTGTTCTGGCATTTAGCAAATGAAAATCATTTAGGTAATCCTAACTGACCTAAAACTGGAAAAGTTTAGTCTGATTCAAGGTCAGACAGAGAGAGAGAAAGAAAAGGTTATATGTCTTTTTATTCAGTGTCTGTAAACTTCTGTGTCTATAGATTTTATCTACAGAGGGGGAAGGTTGTCTTTAGGACAGAATGAGCAAACCAAACACTGGCATTCACTTTTTTTGTTTGTTTTTAGTGGTCGACGTAGGTTCTCCTACACACTTGGAAAAGGAGAATGAGGCAACGAGTGTTCAGGTGGTTACAATCTACAGCTTTCATCTAGATGCTCCTAAATCCTACACACTGGACCTTAAAGCATTTCTTGCTTTTTCTTCATTTCAAAATTTGCATGGTTTAATATGGGTTTGGGAATGTGAGAATGTAGGATTTTGTTTTTAGACTATAATTCTATATGGTATTTTTACCACAGAGCAGTCGATGAGAGGCAGACATTTATGCAAATTTTCAGTTTTCCAATATTCTTGTCTGGAGTTCAGTTGCTGACATTTTCTTGGCACCTTTATCGTCTGCGCCAACCGACACCAATCTTAAACCCTAATAAGGGAAACAACAGATGGAGACACGTTTGCATTCCCGAACAGTTGGAGTGAACAAGACAGCAGATGCTTTGCTTTTATTTTTACGTGTTCTCTCGGCCATTTGGAGGTATGGCAGCCCGAGCAGGACAAAGAGCCAAGGCCAAATATCTTGGCTTTGAGGGGACAACAGCTGGGCGCAACAGACCAGGAAGTTGTTTCACTTCATTAAAGACTCAGCATGAGAGCGGCACAGCTTTTCTAGCTCTCTCCACTCTCTCCATCACCCTGCTCCTCCCTCCTGTCTGTAGTTACACGCATATACACGCCTTCCCTCGCTAATGTCGGTTAGTAGCATTAGCTGGAAATATCACAGTCCATTCACATTACAGTCAGGACAGAGCTGTAGGGCTTTTTTCACATTTTCGTTGTTTTCAACTGGATAGATTCCATCTGTAAACACCAAACCCAAAGGTTGATTCTGAGCACGTTCCATCCAACTTGTTCTCCCTCTTGTCCTACCTGCAGTGTGGCACACAACGAACCTTTCTTTCTGTTTGGGTGTGTCTCTTGTTCTTAGCCATAGTGAGTAGTGACAAGCTCTGTGACCTCTAAGCTCCTCTGATCTGATCCTCCTACAGTGTGAAAGTGCTTCTCTCCAGCGTGAGTCGCTTTAATCTCCTCCACAGTGGATCTTTGCAGAGCTGCCGCTGCTTCACAGCCACAACGACCGATCAGCTGCACTGAGACGTCACCTTCTCAAAGTGTCTGTCACTAATCTCACAGTTTATTACCACTTTGCTTAGTTCCTTCCTTTTCCCCCAGTCTGACTCATTTCCTGCAAATATAACTCTGCTTAATGAAAAATACACCACCGCGCGCTCATCCAACAACCAACCAGTTGTGTCTAATAGCACCAACAAGTCCAAAAACAAACACAGGCCAACACATGTACACACATGTCATGGCCTTTTGGCATCACTGGCCCCATCAGTAATAGTCAATCACTTCATGATTTGCTCATTCAGTGAGTGATGGGCAGATCCCCCCTCAGCACCACAAAAGAAAACACCTGTTAGAATCTGCTTAATCCTAGCCAGCGGCCCTGCTCTCTGGGCTCTTGGGGGCCCGGTCTAATCCGCACAAGGGCACCGGGCCAAGGCCAAGGCAGATTAGACCCCCACCACCCATCAATCCATCCATGCACACACACCTCTCTGAGTCTACCCCCTATAACAAGTGTTTGAATCAGCCTCTTAATCCTTGGACTCGGAGGAGCCCTCCACCCAGCGCACAGCCACCTTCCCCCGCAACCCAAACCTAATCTTCATGCATCCCCTTCATACCCACTCACAGACCTGGCCCAGCCCAGCGCTCACTTACCCCACCTCCCACTCCTCTCCACCACCCCACAACCTCCCTTCCCTCCCCCCGTGGGGCTGAAAGCCCATTGATTTGTTGATTTCTCCTCTTTTGTCTGCGGCCGGCCGAGTGTTAACGGGACATCCAGGGTCCAGAGCACAGTGCCAGGACTTTTGGCATGGGAGATTAAGGTCCTAATCTGGGCATCTGTCAATGTCCAGCCCCCCTTCTCCCTTGTGGCTCTGAGAGAGGCCTTTTCTTGAGTTATTTTCAGAATAAATGAGCTGTTCAAGCTGTAAACTGATCTTTGCCCAACAGGAAAAGAAACCTCATTAGTTCAAATGGTCTCAGACAAACAGCACATCAATACAACGACTTCATAGTCTGCACAAGCAAGCACTTCAAAAAACATCATCTGTTGACATTTGCAAAAGTTCTGTTTATAACTAATGCTGATTTAATGTGTAAAATCAGTCACAATATATCACTGTAACCCCTTAAACAGTTTGGAACAGCATCAAGTGTTGGCCCAGATTATCAAGAACCACCACTAGAGAGGAATGTTATCTAAACTTTGGTCGTAAACACTTTTAAACACTTCTTTAAAAAAAAAAAAAACGTGGCTGAAGGATATTCAGGTCTGCAGTCACTGAGCGAAGAGACACTGCATGTAGCAGGTATCATCTGGATGGGAAGTTCTTGCACTGATTAGGTATCTATTTCTAATTATGTTAGGGCTGTTTATGGTGGACTTTCTGAATGGAGACGAATCCTGTTTTCTGTTGATTGTTTTGGGATTGTTCTTCCCTGTATGTTTACAATTTTTGAAACAGTATGGTAATAAATGAAGTTGTATTGGACTGACTGGATTGGTGTGTATGTCAGAATAAAGACAGGCACAAATCAATGTGCATGATTTATGGGGACAGATCAGTGCCATATCTTACTGTATACGCATCTATGTTCTTTTACCTACACCTGCTTCACATACTCACACGGGTTAGACGTGTCCAGATTAAGGTGTGGTGGTGATAATCTCCCAGTTTGCAAGAAGATGTATGAATGCAACAACACACCAAAGCTACATACTTTATGTTCATTGGAAGATTGACCAAACAAGCACCATCATAGAAAATAGCAGTCTGTCTTCATTTGACATTGAAAACAACACACTAAGATCAATAACACTGCGTTTTCAAATTAAACATTAACAAACCTGAAAAGCTATTCAAAATCAAGAGCAATTACTTCGACAGAGTTCATTTAAATAATAGTGGCTGTTCTATATGTATATTATATTTTACTCAGATGTTCTTGAAGATCATTTGTACAGCTATCATCTTCTGAAGCGTGCTGTATTTGCACAATACTGAGCAATTTGTGGGGGTTTTGTTTTTTGACTTTTTTTGTTTTTAATGATTTTAATTTATAAACCTCATAAATAAAACCAAATGCTAAACTTTAACATCATCAGAACAGTTGAAAAGACTACATGAGTAAACAAAGTGATTTTATTCAGACTTTGTCTCCATCTAGTGGAGAAAAAAATGTACATGGAAGTTAGAATATTGGATTTTCCTGAAGCAAGGCTGAAATTGAAGTTGAAGTGCAGAGAACATTTTGATACAGCAACTTGGACTTTTTTGTGTGTGTAAAATCTTTTTTATTTGTGAAACACGTGAAATGACATGACCAATCATCTGGTCGACCTGGCTCATGTGAAGGAAAAAGACTACAGACAGTCTGTCCCCCCACCCCTTGAGATCAAATATCAAAATATATCCATTGCATAAACACATTTCTGCTCTAGTTTTAGAGCCTGTCTTCCATTTATAAACTAATTAGATAACCATCACAGGTGGCTACAATAAAAATGGTTTAGCTTACATCGCCATCTGGTGGTTCACTGAGACATAGATAAAAATCAGCAAAGCATTTATGCTTAGAAAAGGGTTTGTATATTTATTGAAAAATGTACATAGGAAAGATGTTTTCCAGATGAAAAGATTATATGAACATTTTAAAAGTAGCAAAACAATCTCACTGTCAATTTAAAATGCTTATATATGTAATAGTAGTAAAAAAACAAAAAAGCTACTTTTGTGCGTCATACTGTAGTGACAGCTGTACAGCTACAACACTGCAATGCATCCACAACAATCTGTTCACATTTGATGATGACAAACCACAATAACTTCATTTCATCTTTCAATCGTACAAACAACCTTTCTAAAATCATTCACAGCCAACCATCAGGCACAAAGCTATGGCTTACAACAGCTTTCGGCAAAGAATTTGCATCTTCAATTTTCAGAGATACAGCATCTTCAAGATATGTTTAAGTTTGGATTTGGACCAAGTCCAAAGTTATTTTAAAAAAAGAAAAAATATTTGATTGTTTCCTTTAAAGTCACATCTTTTAAAATCTATCAAAGTTTTTTTTTTCAACTTTTTATAAAATGTCAAATCTTTCTATAACAGAAAAGTGCCGGTTTAAAAATGAATAAAATATTACTTAAACAAGTATACTGCACGTAAACAAAACTGCAATTAAATTGCTCACAGCATGACCTTCAAGATAAACAAGATCAGTGGCAGATTTTCAGAGCTGAAGATCCTGATTGAAGCCACTAATTGGAGATGAGCCTGTCACACGGCAGCAGCTGGCTGACACCAACCTTCTTAGCACAGTCGTTCTGCAGAAACAAAATGCAAATTTTAATTAGCTTCAAGGCCATTTTCTTTACGCAAAAGTTGCACATTTTGGTGAATTTATTTTCTTTCTGAAAGGGTTGATACCACAGATGTCTGTAAGGGAGGATTAAATGGGCAGGCACCTCTAAAGCTCACTAAATGGCACATCACAGGTATGTCTCCATTATTTAATCTGCAGAAAAGGTGCAAAGTTGTGGAACAGCTTGGCACATAACACCAGAAAATCCAGAAAATGTCTTTTTTCACACTTTTTGTATGGAATGTATCTTACAAATGAGGGATAACATAATCCATAATATCCCTAATATATGTGCTCATTTGTTTTCTAAACAAGTCAGGACAGTGAAAAAAAAAAAATCACAATCATCAATGAAACTCGTGTGAGAACATCACCACCTCTCAGTTCTTACCATGTAGTTGACGACATTGATGTGGTAGGGAATCCCACCCAAGTCCTCACATTTCTTCATGTTCATCCTCTCTGGATCTCCAGCAGCCAAGACAGGAAAGTTAGGGTCAGCCTGCAGCACAACAGCAACACACATCAAATGTAGCACAAAACAATGCAAGTACACAACCAGGGGTTCAAGATTAGGGAGTGGCAGGTGGAACATGGCAACAACTAGAGTTTGGTGTGTTTGGTGTTGAAGTTACGCCCATTTATCCAGGACTGACAAGCAGACATGTTTGGTGCAGAACAAGGACAGGTTTTTCAGGAAAAGAAACCTCATACCAACTGTGATGCTTGGTGGTAAAAAAAATGGTGTAGAGTTGATTCACTGGGACTGGGCAGTTTATAGTTACTGACTGAAGTATGAGGTTTGCATTATATCAAAGTGTTTGAAGATAATGTGAGGCCACCTTTTTGAAAGTTGAAATTGAAGTAGACCTTTCAACAGGATAATGATCCTATGCATACTTCCAAACCCACCAAGGAGTGTCTCAAAGAGAAGAAATGGAGGGTTGTGGAATGACTTTGCCAAAGTAGCACCAAAATCTTTTAAGGAATTTTAAAGGAAGAGTGGTCAAAAATTTCAGCTGGTGGACTGGTGGACAATGATGCAAAATGCCTATAGCAAGCTATTTCTGCTCAAGGGTCAAGAGCACTTTTTCTAAAAAAAGACTATTACATCTATTGGCATTTTTTTACTGAATAAATTGGTGAAAACCCTAATTTTCCTTTTGGTTGGTCAAACACTTACTTCTGTATGCACAGTTTCAAAGAGCATCAAATGTTAGCTTGTCCAAATACATCAACATGACAAAATTTTCCAGTTATTATTTCACACAACTGTGATTAATGTGCATAAAAAGACTCCATCAGTGGGATGTACTCACAGGATCCATGTTCCTCTGGATGGACAGCAGGTCTGACATTCTGTCACAGAATCCAGGAGCAAAGTTCTCTGGGTTGATTGCCACAAAACATTGACCCTGATGACACAAAACAGGTAACACTGTGAACTGACCCAATGCAAACAGCAGACAGAGCCCTGACGTAATGTGGCCTACATCAGCGCTTATCTTTTAGATAACAACCGTCAAACACGTAAAACTTACGGTGTACGATTTCTTTGCTTTTCTTCAGTGAGAACTGATCATTTTTTGAACTTTGTTCCTTGTTTACACTGTAACACCATTTTTGTATTTTAACATTGGTACACTGAAAAAAGTGAACTTTGTGAGATGTTGAATTAATTAAATGCACCTATGCTAAACTTAATTAAAATGTTTGTGTTGGTGATTAAAACCTCGTCCACTTAAGTTAGTTATTGCTATTATTAATTATACTGTTAAATTAGTTCCAACATAACTCAGTTTCATGGAAAAAGTTGACATAGCTGTTTGAAGTAAATCCAACAATTTTTTCAGTGTACAGGAATTTTAATTAATTTATTCTAAAATGCAAGAAGTAAGTTGTTTCTTTAGGATAACTGCTTTGTCTTTTACTTTCACAGAGGAAACATGACATACTATATCTTCGTTATCAAAGCAGTGGCTTTTAGCTTAGTTAAAAGCGTTTAAAAAAAGAAGAAGATTTTAGTAGTAAGCATCTATGAACTACAGGAAATTCTTTTTCAACTTATTTCTCAGTCCGTTACAAGAAAACAAGAAGCCAACGTGACGACAGCTACAACAAAAATGATCCAAGTTCCCCTGGGGATGAATCTGTTTAAAATGGGCACACTATGTCCTCAGTGAAACACAACACAGCACCAAAACAAAACGTACCAGGTTGGCAACACGGTCCGTCACCTTCCACGTGCGGACATGTTTGCTGTACTGGGCACCAGCCAGGATACCACAGAAAACCTCCACCATCATTCCCAGACCGTAGCCTTTGTACCCTCCTGAAGGACAGCGATGTAATCAGAGGAGAAATGATGCAATTAATGTCCTGCATCTGAACAATATCAACAGTGCTTTTGTGCATTTCTTGTTTATTTTTCGACTGATGTCCTGAAATCGTTGCAGTGTCCCCTTGTGCTGCTGAAACACTGAAAACACTGTGTGATTAATAAATAATAAATCACCCTGTATTATACAATTAGCTCTGACATTATCATCCCAACCTGAGAACAACTGCTGTCACTTTTATTCTCAGTTTCTACCTGAAAAATCATCACTCCATGAAAAACTATGAGATAATGTGAACATCTGCACAAACAAAAATACACAGATTGGAGAAGCGGAAGGAGAAAAACATTTGGGGCTAGGAAGCACCCAGTTTAAAATAGCTTGTTTGACTTGTTATTTGGGTTTGATCTGGAACTAGTCATTTGTAGCAGGGTTTATTTTTTTTTTGAGTAAATGCAAGTCCAGATTTTGTACTAATTTTTAATTTAAAAAACAAAAGAAAAATGGACTCTGGCTGCACATTGCAGGCAGACAATCAGCTGAGCAGTGGGAAATCAGGGCAGTATTTAAATGATATAATATGAAAACAGGATTACTTTAAACTATGATATTTCAATGTGAGTAATGTTTCAAATTGTAACTATAAGATCCAAGAGGACAACTTCAACGTTTTATCAGAAAGACAAACTGAACTAACAGTTTCATCTGACGGCTTCTTACCTGTGTCTTCATTGCCACCGATGGGCACCAGTCCTCCTCCCCTCAGGACTTTCTTGGGGTCCGTTGTCAGTTTTCCTTGAGGGTCGCAGCCCCAGCCCTGGGGAATGGGGTCTTCACGACGGTCATGCAGCTCAATCTGCAAACATCACACAAAGCAAGAGTGTAAAAGGCTTGACATTCTGTATATGGTACTTTTAAAAACAGTCACAAAGGTTTCGACATGTGACAGATAAATGCACTGAAATCTTGGACTCACCTTTCCAAGTGCTACTGCTGAAGTGGCCATGTCCAGAACAAAACTGTCTCCACCGGCAGCAGGAGCTGCCACACTGAGGGGGTTGGTGCCCAAAGTGCACTGCAGACAGCAGGTTCACAGTGTCAGGACAGGAAAGAGTCTTACACTCAATGTCCTTGTTCACTTATTTCAGCAACATCTTGGATCAATGCACAGTCATTCATTCAGCATGTCATTCATGCTGACATTTGTACTATATCCTTTGTGTAAATACAAGACTTGGTGTCACACATGGCATGCAGTGCAGCTTATTGTACTGAATAAATAACAAATTTACCTCTTTACCACGAGTGGGAACCACCAGCGGGGATGTGTTGGTAAATGACATTCCCTGTAGGGGGGCAGAAAATTACCAAGTAGGTCTTAGACATGTAGTACATTCACTCCAGTCTGTTGTTAATAACAGCAAATGAAAAAAAATGGGTTTAAAATGAACATTGTCTACTGAAACACAAACAAAAGTCAAAAGAGTAACTTCTACACAAAGACTGATGGCACGATTCCTTCACTGTGTGTAAAATGTTTAAGACACTCTGTATGAAACAGAACGTGACAGAAGCCTATTTTTCTGGAAATGCACATAAGGTAAGTTGTTCAGCTGTGGACTGTGTGTTGGTGCACATGCTCACATTTCTGTGTTTTGTGTAAATAGATAGAAATTCAGGGACAAAAAGAATTGATGAATTACAAGTCTGCGTTTGGAAATATGAGTAGAATGACGACACTTGATTCGGCTGGATGTATTTCTTCTTCTCGTCATCTCCGATATGTTGTTTTTTCTGCTTTTGCTGTTGACAGAAAAGCTGTGAGACTTCACTGTAGCCAGGTGATTGTATGAAAACCTTTTTCATAAAAGAATTGAGACTTTGTACATTTGTACAGTTTGGGGCACTGAATATTTTCAAAAATTGAGTCAGAACTGCAAGGCTGCAAGGTGGATCGGTGGTTAGCACTGTTGCCTCGCAGCAAGAAGGTCGCCGGTTCGTGTCCCACTGAGGACAGCCAGGATCTTTCTGTGTGGAGTTTGCATGTTCTCCCCGTGCAGCGTGGGTTCTCTCCGGGTTCTCCAGCTTCCTCCCACAAGGTTCAAAAACTTGTTGAGGTTAACTGGTGATTCTAAATTGTCCGTAGGTGTGAATGTGAGTGTGCTTGGTTGTCTGTCTCTAAGTGTAGCCCTGTGATAGACTGGTGATCTAGCGAGGATTAAGTGGTGTATAGATAATGGATGGATGGATCATGGAGTCAGAACTCCCATTTTACTCATCAAAGTCTCAAAAGTGCAGATAAACGTTTCACTCACAATCATGTTTTCCTTCAGTGCCAGCATGGCGTAGTGTCCGGCAATACCATAATGGTTGGAACCTGAAAGGAACCAAAGTATCATCAAAATGTTATGACCTAACAGCGATGCTTATGTATTAGCATCATTTTATTAATCACATTGTGTCCCCACTTCAGTAAACAGACAGAGTCATTAAGCGTATTTCTAAAACCTATAAAAACGTATTTAGTCAACACTTATTCCTCATAAAGATAATTGTATAGATTACTAACATTTAATCAACTCACTGAATGTTTCTACAGTTACTTGTAATACAATGGTTTTGGCTTCTCCTCCTGCACACTTAACTGTCTGCTACACTAAGCTAATATTGAAAACAGGTAAAACAGTTCCTCTGTGGATGCTCAGCAGGCCTGTGCATGTCAATGAGGAACATCCGTTATTAATGTTTATCCATTTCAGTTTCTTTCACCTGAGCTAATGCTGCAGTTAAAGACATTCAAGTTTCTTCGAATCGTTGCCTACAAATATACAGCAAGCCCAGTGGTACAGAAGTTTAACACACATTTTGTCTTAACTTTGGCCTCCCCATGTAAAAAGGCATCATCCCGTCTGAGATGACATATACACACAGTTCACCATCACAGCATTCTGGACTCACAGATTGACGGGACTCACCATGTGCGACCACCCAGCCAATGCCGACCTCTTTGGCCTTCTGTATGGCCAGATTCATGCAGAAGTTTCCCACCACTGGACCCAACAGGTTCTTCCCATCCACCAGCGCTGTAGCTGCACTTTCCTTCATCACCACTGGCTCACCGTCCTTTGCGCAGATTCCTGACTGAATGTCCTTTACGTACATGTCTGCCCAAAAAATATGTAGATCGTGGCATCAGTTTATTTTGGATGCAAGATGTTTCCTACATCACCAATGTTGTAGTGTTCTCAGTGTGCGTGGGTGGAGCAACATGAGCCTCCCATTGTCAAAATCTGAACATCTTTCTGCACAAACATTCAGTCAGAATAAATTCAATCGCATTTTTTTTAACAGAAGTAGATTTCAAACACACAGACGAAGGGATAAACTTTCAGCATCCCACTGACCCATCCTGTTGAGTCCGTGGCTGTAGTGGCCTCTGTGGTCTCCTTCCACCAACACCTCGGCCAGGCTGCGGGCGTGATGCGGTTGGGTGCCCACGGCCTTCATACACCTCTCAATGAAGCCCTGCACCTCCATCTGGCTGATCAGACATCTGCAGAGGAACAGTAGATGTTAAATCAGCAATAGTTGGAAAAGTACAGATGATGATGATGATGATGATGATGATGATGATGATGAAGCTGTTGCTGCTGGTTTACATCGAAGAAAGAGGGAAATCGTATTTTGATATTGTCTTTTTAAAAGTTGGGGTTTTTCATTTTGAAACAGGTTTCAGGAACATTTTAGAGCTTGATTATAACTTTCTTTTTGTACAATGAGGTCAATCTCAAGGGTTCATTTTGAAGATTCAGGATACTTTGTGAGGTTTAAATCCATGTTGCCAAATTGCAAAATTACAAGAAGCAATCAAGAAAGTGGCAGAAGATTTTTCTAAAACTTTAACTAACTATAATCCTTCCTTTATAAAGAGGCTTTTAACTCAACTTAAGAACTCCTTTTTTGAAATTGTGTCTTTAAGTGTGTGTACTGTCTTCTTTTTTATTGTTTGTTTGTAGCACTTTGAGATTTCTTTTAAATTAAAAGTGCTATATAAATAAAATGTATGTTTGTTATTATTATTATAATAATTACTAAATACTGAACAGAATACCATAAAAGGATGGAGCTTCTTTAGCTTTGTGATTTTGAAGAATAGTCTTAAAATAAGGTTGCTTTCAAGTGAAATTAGGAATTGCTCGGCTTGAACATAAACTCTACTTTGATACATTCTATAGTTGCAGTGCAATTACTTTATTTGTTCAATCTGGTTAATGAGTATGACAATGTGTTGTATGCTCACTTTTAATCTCCAAAGTCAATATTCCTTTGACCTTTTTAAGGTTCATTTCCAATGTTACTGTGCCAATTGGGCTAAAGTTCTCTCTCTCTCTCTCACAAATGTTGGTTTCAGGGTCAGAAAATTTGTTCAAACAGCAAACATGAACAAAACAAACTGTAAATCTGCGTAGTTATGTCCTACACCAAAGTCCCTTCATTGCCCCAATTTTCGTAGGATTTGACTGAATGGATAGTTCCACTGTACTTTAAAGTTTGAAGTTCATCTTTGCAGACATTGCTCAAGCTGCAACCCTATGGATGATGTAGGTCACTGCAGCAAAGCTCTGCTGGGATGACGTTAAACTGTTTCTGCAAATCGAGCTTGGCAGAAAAATTCAGACGGCACGACCACTGCAAACAAACTGCAAACTTTCTCTTGACCTATTACACAGTTAGCCTGAGCCGAGCAAACATGTTTCGAGTACGACATTGCAACAGCTTTTAATGATAAATCAAAAATGATAGTAGTGATTATTTTGCATTACATTCTAAAACTTTTTTGGGAGAAAACTTCAACAGCAGAGTCCTCTCAGTGACAGAAGAAACCGAACCAAAACTCTGCTTCAAAAAGATGTTTGACACGGATTTGCAGAACAATGGTTAAGTCATCTTTAAAAATATCAGACTGTTATCCAGACTTTTTTCACTTGATGTCACGCCTTGCTGTGATACGACAACTTTGGACAACTAATGGGAAGCAGACAAGTGTCTCTGTGTATCATACTGAACATTGTGTTCTTCTTCTTCTCTTTCCTCATCTTCTTCTCTGGTGTGGGACATTGTACTTACTGGTACTCAGCGGTTAGAGAGGGAAAGACAGAAGTCGTAAATTTTGGAATGCATTCTAATTGCGTCCAGATTTGGGCGGCGAGAAAGTTTTTTATGTAATTGGATGTTTGTCAGTTCCTCTAGAAAAAAGACATTTTGTTCTGCTTCACACAAAACAAAAAAAAAACACATGCAAGGCATGACATTTCCCAACACAGAGAACTGAATCTGTTTATTAGATGATATTGACACGTGTTGATTAAAACTCAAATCTTGACACACATTTATAGTTGACATTTCAACATTTCCAACATTTAGGTGCATCCTGAATGAAAATGTGTTGAGATGAACTTGAGAAAAGCCTGTTTTTCACTCGACAAGTTGCAACTGAACACAGATCTCTTTGTATGATACAGGGGGTGCATTCCTCTCAAAATTTAGAGCATGTGCATTTCTGCCCCTCATTAAAAACATGAAAGACGCAGAGGAGAGGACTTCTATTGAGACACCACTGTAATTTTACTCATAAATACAAAAATGTCTCCTACAGGGACAGGTCTTTTATTAAGCGCTACGTATTTTTATTTTTTTTACTTTCAACATATGACTGGAGCTCATACACAATGCTGTGATCTCAAAAAGCCTCAAACCAAGTAAGCTGTGATTTTAACAGTCATGTTTTGTGCGTAGACTCAAAGTTTCGAAGCCTACACCTCAGTTATAAACCAACGTGTTGTATTCAGGATTGTTTTCAACATAGCCGGGATGTTCACGATTCCTCAATATCATGACACAGGCGTGTGTGACATGTTGTGAATGTGCATAACGGTTTAGACATGAGGAGAAATCTCGCTGTAACACGTGAGCTATTAAAGTTTAGTGGTTTCTTAAAATTGTTGCATGTATGATTGACACAAATAGATGCCAGACGCACTTTTAAAGAGGTTACTTCACCAAACAAACACACAGAAGAGGGACAGAGAAGCAACTCGTTTGTTTGTGGACTTAAAGGGGAAAAAGATTAGATGTGACAAGCTGATCAACAGGAGAATCAATACTTTAAAAAAAAAAAAAACTGAATGAATGAGAGCCTCACTGCATTATAATCCAGCAACCTGGTAGCTGAACTTGGGATTTTAGTTTTTCATTAACAAAGAGCTTTTTGGCACAAATTGGTGCACAAAAAGTGTTTGATGCTGACAATTACCCGATCGTCTGCTTAATGCGTCCCACTAATGTTCAAACGAAACCCCATGAAAGTGTATGTTACCATTTTTATTGCGTGTCAGAGAAAAGCAACTTGCTAGAGGCTTGGCTTGTTGCCTGACGACTGGCTTGATCCAAAAAATAGTCTGGCATGCATATAACAGCAGGTTTCCAGCCAGTGTACCGATTAAATAAATGAGATAATACAAAAGAGGTGCTTGCAGACACACGATAAAGCGTTGGAAATCTTCTTTTCTAATTCTTTCTGAGAAATCCAAAGTTCCAAAATGTCTTACTGTTGCTTAAAAGGAACATCATAAAGCTATGTAGGTGTTGTTGAGTGCATTTTCAGCAAAACGTTAAGCTACAACTTAATGTTTTTGACCTTGACCCTCCCTGACACTCTGCTGCAGCCCCCCCATGTACTGATCATTACTTTCCTATATGGCTCTTATGAATACAGAGGGTTACATAATTACAAGTATTCTTGTCATGCACACTGTGAAGAAGAGTTTCTAGTTTCAGTAGCTTGTCCTGCCTTGCAGCTAATTGGCTGCGCTGTCCTTGGTCTTTAATTGGAAGCCAGGCCGGCTCCTACCTGCTCATGGTGACCGTCTTGCTGTGCGCTCTTGTCGGGTTTGTTTCTCTTGTCTCCGGTGGTGCCGGTGATCTGGTGATGTCTGTGGCCCACCAACTTGCTCTTTAAGCCCATCAGTTTTAGGAAACGCCCATTTGCTGCCAGGTATCCTGTCTGTTTCAGTGGGTGTGTTGGAGGAGAGGCTTTGTCTCGTCACACAGGCCCGATGCGGTTTGGCAAGGTATGTGGCTCCGGGCGCATTGCACTTTACTGCTTCAGCGTTTCACACGAGAGAGCTGTACATGATGTACCCGTGCGTAATGCTTCCCAAAAATATTATTCTCATAATGATCTGTCGGCCGCTGAGCTTATTTAGCGATGGAGGGACACCTGGTGAGCGCATCATCCGCCAAGGTCAATGTCCTATCTGATAGTTTTAAAGACAGTACTCCGGATTTGCGCCAAAATTCAATGCGTTCTTTCTGTGCTCATGCGCCACCTCTCCGTCACGTTTCATGAAATACGGCTGTGTAATTGCTGAGAAACACACTGACAGACAAACAAGTTCCAGTTGTCACAGATGTCTAGGCGGAGGAAATGTATAGATTGACTTCCAAAATAAAATCCTGCAGAACATTTCATTATTGCGCACAAATTATCCAACATTTATAAAATCTACTGGGTTCATTCACAAGTTAAACTTTTTTTATACTCCTATAAAACTCTGTGTAAACATATACATATAAAAAAAACTCCAATCCAGTGATGCTGGCTGCAGAAAATGGAAGAAAACCCTTTTATTCAAATATGTGTCTGTGCCTGAAGCTCCATTGTTAGTTTTAGGTCCCCTCAGTCAGTCACAGCATGTTTGACAAGCGTCTAAAAGTCACAGGTTTATGTAACCAGTGAGGGCAGCTTTAGGCTGAGTCGGTTATATAAGACGTATATAAACTATAGGACCTGCAGAACCAGGACAGAAGACGAGAAGTAAAAAGTCCTAATTTAAAAACTTGCCTGTTCCTTTTAGTTACTAGCATCTGTCTCTGATTAAATGTTCTGTACTTTGTGTGCCGATGATGATTGTGGGAGTTGCCTGGCTGTTTACTCTTAACAAGCAAATGCTTGTGGATGCAGGGGGGGGAATGAATAAAAAAAAAACAAGCAGCAACACAGAGATGGCTTTTCAGTTTTCTTCTTGCTGCCTGGTCACATTATATATGATGCTGAAGTGACAGCAAATCTTGTGCAGACCTGATCTCTGCACGAGTTCATTGATTAAACCCCTAAAAACTCGCCTCAGTGTATCAAAGTTATGTGTTTAGAGCTTTTCCCCCATGCAAATATCTTAAAATGGCTTAGATGTAACTCTACAAGTCTAGGATGAGCACATGTATGGGGTCCTTGCCTCTTGCGACAGCTGCTCACCCTCTGCTCAAAGCTGCACCACAGCAAGTTATAACACTGGTTCTGAAGAATAATGATACAGAAAGCCCCACCTTGCAAGCTGACAAGATTGGTTCCAGGTTGTTTTGTGTGTGAATGCCCAGCAGCCTGAATCTGTGTCACTGTAGTTTCCAGGTGGAAATGCTCAGCCGTGGCGTCGGCTGATTATTTAGTGTCTCCAAGCATATAAAGAAAGCCCATATGGACATGTTGACAAAATAAAAACTTGTTTCTCACCAGAGGAGCTTTTGTTAGATGCAACACACATGATACATGGATTTGTGATACAGAAATGTCTAACTGTGATGATTCTTCTGATTTCTAAATGTAGGTTGTGCATTTTTTTGTTAACCATGGGCCTAACAAGCACAGTAACCGTAATCTTTAAAATGCTGTGGTGACACAATGATTGCTCCTCCCTGCACTGTGCACACACAGTTGGACTGCGATATTTATCATAACTACTTATATTCAGCTGAAGCCGGTTGCAGACACTCTTTGAGCAGAATGCAACTCATGTAAAGACGAGACACTGCTGCGTAACAGCAGCGTTGTTCAAAGTCAGAACTGTAACATATTATAAACTGAATAATGTCAGAATCAAAGTACGATAAATAAGCATCTAAGTATTAATGTGGATTAATTAGGATAAAATCTGCATTTGGTATTAAATACAACTGTCAATAAATTTTCATTTTACACACTATGTTTGTAAGAGCTGCAGAACTCTTCAGTTCTGAGGAGACTTCTTTATCACTGAAGAAGCTTTTGGATGAGAAGCGAAATGTCTTGAAGAACCAGAAAGAAAAGTTCAGTTACCTTCTACTGATACTCCTGCAATTACCATGACCTGCATGACTTAGATTCTACACAGGCATTTTACACAAAATACAAATTATTGGAAACCTCCTAAATTAGTAATAATAACAATAATAATCTTTTTTCACATAACCTTACCTGCATAAATTGTCATGGTTTGAGAAGAAGTTAACATTTATTATTATTATTATTATTATTATTATTATTATTATTTGGTTTAGCATAGGTTTTTTTTTTTTTTTTTAAAGTCAGAAAGGCTGGAAGAACACAGCCAGGGAGTCCTTTTCTTCAAAGTCCACAAGGCCACAAGGGGTCAGACACTCACTGAATCAGGGGTGGGTTTTGTAAATGCACATAGTCAAACACACAGTTTAACTTTTCCATTCAATCCAACTTTCATATAATCGTGACACACAACATAATGCATCTCAGATCTGTGCAGTGCTGTGGAGGCATGTACTTGGCACCATAATTGCTATAATTTGGATATGAGTGAACTAATTTAATGCTTGTCTTGGTTAATTCTGGCATTTATGAGACATGAAAGGAAACCAGAAGAAACCTGTATTCTTTGCAGTTTAACTAGTTACAAAAAAAAATCATTAACCTGCTTCATTTTAACAAGTAAAGCTCTCAATGACCACAATGCATTAAAAAAATAACAGTTGCAGGAACTTATTGAGTGTTGTTTTCCTAGAGTGCTAAGCTGTTAGCCTATTTTATTACTGTCTTAGCTTACCTTTAAAACTGGGCCGATGCTGCAACAACAAAGGCTGTGGAAACCAGTCGAACTACTTTACTGCTGATATATGAACACATAATACCAGAAGCCACAAGGGCTTTGATGTGCTTATTTTACATGCACTATAATTATATAGTGGATATAATATTGAAGGGACCTAATATAAATCATATAGAAGTGACATCCTAATCTTTTTAGTGACTGACAGACTTCTCCTGTTGCATTTATCTTTTACATAATGACACCGAACTCTAACGAGGAGATTGCATGAAGACCTTTTCCAAATATGAACTTTGCTGTTGAGGTACAGTGCGCTGGTCCAATGAACTTTGCTTTTTGTTTTGCTGTACGTGGATAATGGGTAAAGATCCCTGTGCAAGCTTGTTAGCATGTACAGACCAGGAGATAAGATGATAGGATGAAAAAATACGAGCCCAGACAGAGCGTATATTAGCAGGCAGTCAGAAAATCAACAACAAAGATGATTGCAGAATCTCAACATCCCCTCTTCTCTGCATACAAATCTCTACTATTAGGAAAAAAAAAAAAATCAGTGTGCCAAAGTGCAAATCAGACCATCTGAAAATATTTTGTCCAGCTTTTATCAAGCGGCCAAAGACCAATTCTGAAAAGTAATGCAATGCTCAACATATACACAGGAACTCATAGTAATCTGTGGAGCTTCCTTTCTGTAAAGTTTTCTCATGTTATTTATGAGCTTTTATGCATGTTTTTTTTTTCTTGTTACTCAATGTATCCTTGTGTTTTTATGGGCTTTTTAAAAAAAAATATTATTATTATTGTTGTTGTTGTTGTTGTTGTTGTTGTTGTTGTTGTTGTTGTTGTTGTTATTATTATTTGATGTTTAGAGCAACAGCCTGTAGCACTGGGCCCAAGAAAAGCTTCTCCTCAAAGCTTACTCTCCACTCAACTCTAAATACAAGAGCAAGCACATATGACAAAACTTGGGCAATTAAAGTTTATTTTAAAACAATATTAGGTTGGTTCATCTAAAAGTTTATTTTTAAAAAACACACATATATATATATATATGATATTCAAATTCCTAGAATACTGGGATTGATTATGTGTTGATACAAATCATCAACTTGTGGCATCGTGCCTTTTTGAGTTTGACCACAGGAAATCTAACTTGCTAATTAATTTTAGAAAACTTTTATTAATGATTGAGTCTATGGGAAGGTTATGTAAGGGTGAATGTTAGGCATGGTTGGGACAGCGGAGGTTAAAGAGTAAGGAGTATTTGTTGACCCAGACTAAAGTGTGGGTGATCTGATTATCTTATATTGTGGATAACCATATTTTAGTATACTCCTCTGAAAAGCAGATTTTAAGAGGAATTATACAGATCGTGTAATTAAATAAATAGCAGCATTTTCCAAACTTTCCGACTCCACATGTACTCTGCAACATACTCTCATTTGATGCACTACACATCTTGGAACCACTGAGGTTACTGGATGCAATGCTGGAAACTTGTCACCTCAAATGAAACCATCAGACAGAGCCCGACTATGGTTTATCTTTGCAATCTTCTTGGTCCGACATTAATTTTTGACCATAAGCTGAAATTGTTGGTGTTTGCTGGTAGTTACTGAAACACAGGTGAGCTGAGACACAGAGTTCATAACAGCTACAATATACGGTTATCTGCCATAACTAACTCTTTATTAATACATTTAAGTAAGAGAGGGTAAGAAAGAAAAAGAAGACAGACAGTTGTTTCACAGCTGGGAAGCCCACCACCTACTGAAGTACTGTAACATGTAATGTAGCATGAACCGAAACACACTTCATTTTGAACGCGACACTAATAGTGTGTCACCACAAACCACATCACCGTCAACAGTGAGTGCTTATGACTAAAGACTGCAGCACTGGAAACAGAGAGACAGTATCTGTAGCCCTAACCCCTACACTTTATCAAATCATTTCAACAATGAACAATAAAAAAGTAAAATGAATAAGGTTTAAACCCCCCAATAGCAACAGCACTGTTGCAGATATGCTGTGAAGTTATACATTGCATGTAACTGCACATCTAACAGTAGTGGTCCACCTCTTTTCAACCTATAGAAGAGTTACAGAAGATCAATTCTTCTAACTATTTTAGAAAATGCAACACCTCAGGGAGCTTGAACCCCTACAGTAGCTCCCCAAAACATCAATAATTCATATAAAACAGAGATCATGATTTAAAAAAGGGCCACAGGTTTGGTATGCCACAGCATCCTGCATACAAAACAAAGTCAGCTACATGGAGAGCACACAGAGCACCACAGCCTGAGTGTGGTTGCAGCCTGCAGTCTTCACACCTGCTCACCCTATAGAGCCTATCTACCTCCACAGGCCTCTGCTGTAGCGAGGAGCTCCCAGAAAGAGCGGGGACGAGTTAGCGTCCCTCCCCCCTCCCTTCCCTTCCCTCTGCAGCGCCGACTCCTATCCTATAATTCTCCGCAGCTCAGACATCTGTAAGCATTTCTGTCAGACCACAAGAGGAAAATAGAAAGCTGGAAGCTAGAGGCTGTGATTTGGGTGTGTATAAATAAAGTTGCGAGCAAAGGAGAAGCTGCTAATGGGAGTGCAGAAGGTGGGAGGTCGGGACACCCGAAGGCATCAAAGAAGAGACGTGAGGTGGAAGGAGGACAAGTGGAGCCTCTCAGAAGTTTCATGTAGGACTAATGTCTGAATTGCTTAAGTGGGTGTGTTTCACATAGTACAAGCTTGATGACACTCTTCTTAATGTGCATCACTATGTACGGTATGAGGTGGAAATGATCAATTATGCACCAAAAAATACGAGTTCTTTAAGGATTGTGCAACCTAAAACCACAGCACTTCAAAACACTGTTAGCACAGAAAGACCTTTTGGACAGGACATTTTAGGAGCCCTGTTTAAGCCATCATATGTCATTAAACGCTCTATCTCTATCTATAGTGCTTGTTCCATTCCTGGAAAAAACCTGCAGCATTACAACCTACGGAAAATGTTTTCTCGTCCGCCTTCCCGAAACATTTGCCCTTCAGTCTGTAATAATTCCTGGACTGTGATTGAGTGTAAATGGGACATGTCCTCCCGCTTGCAGTCCTGCACTGCACGTGACTCCTCTGTAGTGGTCTGCCTGGGCGGCCCTGCCTCACAACTGGAGGGCACATTTGCAGTTTCCTAAAACGGGCTGTTCTGTATATAGCTGGCAGAGCAGCAGGCTCACAGCTGGGATGAAACCAACCGTGCCTTGCCCTGTTCTTCCCTCAGACCCGCCCCAGAATCAGAAACCTACGAAGCCCAAAATGATCGCTTTAAAGCTGGGTGTAGGTGCAGCAGCAGAACCGCAGGAGCCGTTTGAACGGACGTCTCTCCGTTCTCGCGTTCATCAGCTGTGAGGAGGAAAATCTAAAACATGTTCGTAGATTTTTGAAAATGGTGAGAATTTTGTAAAGGAGAAAATTTAGGCTTATTCCTTTTTCAGTGTTATACTGAGTTAACAGCATCTGGTTTATTTCGCTCACTTACAAGAGGTTTACAGTAAGATATTGAAAAATCAAAAAAACTTAACAAAATACTAGAAAAAATACATGAATAATGACAAAAATAGATGTATGCTGTAACAGTAATAACATTTCAAACTGATGAAAGGTGATAATAAATGACTATCGATGGGAGGTGAATGTTGATTGTCCTTTTTGTAAAGTGGCTTCTCATCATTGCGGCATTCAGACATTGGCTCCACAGTTTTCTGTTCTCGCTGCTCTTTTTCTTTCTACCGTGACTTAAGATAGCTGTCATTCAAATTCCACTCAACATAAATACAATAAATAACAAGAAAAATGAAGCAGAGTAGCTGCTTGCCCAGTCTCCCAACCTCGATTCACCTCCAGTCATTTCCATCTTTAACATATCACATATTTCCTATGTTAGGCTTGTTCAGTCTTGAATCAACTTCACATCTCAATGACCATTTCCCACTAAGGCTGACATTACAATGAGCAAGGTATCGATACTGTTACGTCAAATCCCAAGCGCCAAACTGCCGTATTGCTTTTATTGAACAAGATAAACATTTGTTAATAGTTTTAGATTCAAAAATCTTTTTTTTTTTTTTATACGTAACTCTTAGATACTGGTTGAATTTCAAATATTTGATGTCGCATTCCAAAGAGGACATTCTTGTAACACTCAAACCCTGGCTTACTTTTCCTTCTCACTAATTAGTAGTGTTTTAGTTCTGAGCAGAGTCCCAACTCCCATGTAGAAAAGGAGCACTAAGACTTTTATCCTCTGAATCAAATCAAATGCCCTTCTCGACAGTTAGTGTGAATGCGTTGAATTTGAGATCTGTTTGCCTCCATCTACCAACTGAACAGCTTCATAAAGTTTTGGAAACCATCTTCTCCAAAGAAGTCAAAGGAGCCCTGAGAGGAGCCGAGGTGGACGAGCAGGAGGACGAGCAGGACGACGGCCAGAAGTGGAATCAACAGGTTCCAGCCGGCTGCCAGGATGTTGTACCATTTGGCTTTGTCCGAACACTCCTGGGCCAGCTGCAGGTTGCCCTGAGTCTTCTGGTCCCTGGCCTACGAAGACATGAAGAGTCACTTCATTTTCATAATCGGTGCAAGAAAGCTGGAAGCAATAAAACTTTGCCTCTACTGCATTAAAATGAAAAAAATCCAACAGACTGTAAATACTGAGAGGAAGAAAAGCAAACAAAGGCATGGTATAATGTTCTATTATGGTTTTGTTTACAGACAGTTCATTGCAGGTTGTCCTGCAATTCAGATTCAAGGCTGACCGAGGCCAGAGTGATACGAGTCCTTGAGCTGCTTCTAAGTGTATCTATGTATTTTGGAAAGGACGGGGCAGAGTCTTTCCCCAGCACTCTCTAATTTCCCATGAGTACTTGCCCATTAAGAAGATGCCAATTACGCCATTTTTAACTCCCCATACAAGCAGCCAGTCACTGTCTTTAATTTAAGTGCTGAGCAAGTAGTGGGCCTGTGATTCAGAGCTACAGCCTATGTAGGAAGAAAAAAGGGACTTAAATAAAGGGTATACACCCTTTTGTGGGGACTTTATTCAGGTAGCCATACAGTGTTTCCGATCCTGCTTTGCACATGGCATTTTCAAGGATCTTTTAGCTGTTTTTTTAGGGAGTAAAGGTTCTGTTTTGGTTTTTGTTCCTGTTTCTTTGCGGCCCCATTCCTGCGGTAAAGGGCACAGCAACTTTCTACTGTGTGTGTCTTCTGACCAGGGACAATAACAGTTCTACAATGTTTGTAATACAGTGGTGTGTTCCATTTTCCATACATGTGAAATCCAAAGATTTTCCCAACAGGACATTTACACAATTGAAACAGTCTTCTTCCATGGTTGTTGCTCAAGTCTTGCATTCAGAATACCAATTTTTCTGACTAAGAAATAATGACTGGGTCCTTCCTGTTCTTTTAGGGATTGTATTGTTCTGCTGCCATACATCTGAGCTTCATTCCCAGTGTGGGATTTGCCACAACATGCCCAATGTTTTATTGCTGTACTTGGCAACTCAATCCACCTTTTGTCTATTATTGTCAGCTAGCTTTGCATAAAGCTTTGGATAATTACAGCAATGTTCTTTTGGGGTATTAGCTGCACAAGACCAACACTAAAATAATCTAATGTTGTGTTGGATGTTGTTGACCAGTTGCAAAATGGTTCCATTGTTTCTACCTTTCATGTGAGTTCAAAGGTAGTTTTAAGGTACAACCACTGATAAAGACTAGTTGTAAAGGAAAAAGCTAACTGAAAAAATGTGTCAGATGAAACCATTTTCAAGGACAGTGAACAATAAATTGGCATTTGTGTTGTCGGGATCCTTCTGAGTGCATCAAACTGTTCAGACTCTTCGTTGTCACACCTCAGTTTGTTTCCTGAATGTTGCAACGTTTCATAGAAATGGCAGAGACTGACACAAGTGGAACAAAAGCAAATAAAACAAAAGCACAAGGTCTCACCTTGATGGAGTAGACGAGCGCCATGAAACCCAGGCAGCAGAAGTTCACATACAAGGTGTTGCACAGCGACCAGACTAGATAGTCCCGGGGAGGATTCTTGCCGCTGTTGCCCATGTTGACCACAGTGGATCCAGCTGGCTTACGCGCAGACTTGCAGTTGGTGAGTGGGGTGCAGTCAGAAGGGAAGTTGTACGAATGGTTGTCCATGGTTGGCGTTTAGAGAGGAGATGGATGTCGCTGTGTAAATAGTGTGAACTTGTTAGCCTTCCAGATGCTCGGCCTCTTTTTTGAAAGTAGTGCCCCCCTCTGTGTGAGATGCTTATAAAGGCCCATGAGGAGGGAGGTGACAGGGAGAGGACGCATGGGCAGGGTCCTTTAATACAGAGCAGGTCTGTCATTATGTGGTGAGGCCTGAGAGAGACTGAAATAGAGATAGAGAGAAGAAGACAGAGAAAAAGCTGTATGAGAGAGAAGACTGAGAAGTTGCAGCAAATAGATACATGAGAGCAGATCACAGTTTTCCATCAAAGTGTCCTTAACCTCAGCTTTCTTAGAGATGGAGGTGGTGTGGATCAGGCTGTTGAGTTGGATGGTGGCAGTATGGGGTGTAGGGTGAAGTGCTGTCTGACTGAGGCCCCTGAGGGAACTGAAAGGGTGAACACAGGTCGGACATCTGTGATGACTCTGATGCGTCCATTAGGTTTTCATACCCACATTCTGGGCAGAAATCATCAAACCTGGACACTGATTTGAAGCTGAAGCTCAAACCAATTAGTCATTTCAGTAATTTGTTTATGCAAAAGTGCCAAACATCACCAAACTTATGGATCTATTTTTCAGCACAAATTCGTACAGTTACTCACTTTGGAGATTCCAAGTTCAGCCGCAGTCTGCTGTTGATGGACGCTGAGGATCCCCACTGGGAATTACTCATAATGTTACAAAAATCCCCAGTTACTGGTAAGATGTAGAGGAAAACCCGCTTGTCTAGCTTTCTCCATTACACACACACAATTTCAGGATTTTATTGTGCTTCATCTAGCAGCCACGGTCTTAATTACACATAACTTTAGGCCTTAATACAAATTCAAATTGCTTAGTCAGTTAGCCAGTTGAATGAATGAATGAATGGGGAAATTAGGTCTGGAGACTAAAACTGGTTTTTTTTGTACTAAGCTGTGTTTATTTCTGCTGCAAAGTTGGACATTTTTTATGGAGATGCAGATGGTCAGTGTAAACCTTCCACTGGCCACACATTTCATATGGCTTTCTCCAATACATGTTACCATTTTCACTACAGGGAACAACAACAACCTCCGAGCGAACAACCTATCATCCTGATAATTTCAAGTTTCATCCTTCTAGGTTTTTTTTCTCTTTTTTTTTGTTGCTCAAGATGATTATGAGGCAAAAGCACTAAATGTACGGTGATTCCCGACATTGAAACCAAACTGAAAGAACTCATTGTGATTATTGAATAAACATCAGATTTTCAACCGTAACTGACACTGAATCAATATTGATTCAACGTCACCTAAAAAGATGGTCTGAGCTACATTTTGGAGGATTCAATATTGAAACAATGTTGGTGACACAATATGGAATAAACCATAATCTAAAATACAGTCTATACCTACATTTCAGCTCTTTCAACACTGAAATGTTTAAATATTCAATAACTTCTTAGTGCTTTGACATATTTTTCTCAACACATAAAAAAATTCTGACTTCCTTTAGCCTGGTTTGAGTTTTTCTTTGCTCTGTGTTAATTTACTACTATTTTACTACAGTAGTATCAAAAACCATAAGTATTTTTAAATGGATTCTGTCCAACAGAGTGTTATTGTGTTGTGCAAAAGTTTACAGATATTTCACACCCAATGAAAAAGTGCTAAACTATTTCTGTTTGTTTATCAAAGGCTAGAAACTGTGTTTACTTGTAAAAAATAATTTCATAATTTTCTTTTTTTTGTTGTTATCATGATTTTGCATTGCTGAATATTACCTTATATTTAACTTTTTTCCTTCACTGTGGTAAAAGTGTCTACTAAGTCCATGACCTGTCAACAACTTGAAACAGAGGATTTTTATACTGCGGTATTTAAGATGACAGTTCTTCTAACACTTTTGACATGAAGCTGACCATGTTGTACATCACACTGTATAGACCAGGGGTGTCCAATCCTGGTCCTCGAGGGCCACAATCCTGCATGTTTTAGATGTTTCCCTCTTCCAACACACCTGATTCAAATGATCAGGATTGTTATCAGGCTTCTGCAGAGATTGATGATGAGCTGATTATAAATCTCAGTCTTGGCTCGTATCTAGAGCTGTCCAGTAAATGTGATGTTATTTTGTTTTACAACAACACTGTGAAGCTCTGCTAATCATTAAACTCAATAAGTGCTAATTAGACATATTAATGTGAGTTAAAAAAAAAAAAATCAGAAGAACTTAGTGGGGCTGCAAGGTGATTAGCACCGTTGCCTCGCAGAAAGAAGGTCGCCAGTTCGTGTCCCGGTGAGGACACCCAGAATCTTTCTGTGTGGAGTTTGCATGTTCTCCCCGTGCAGTGTGGGTTCTCTCTGGGTTCTCCGGCTTCCTCCCACAAGGTCCAAAAACATGTTGAGGTTAATTGGTGATTCTAAATTGTCCGTAGATGTGAATGTGAGTGTGCTTGGTTGTCTGTCTCTAAGTGTAGCCCTGTGATAGACTGGTGACCTGTCCAGGGTGTCCCCCCATGACCCTAGTGAGGATTTAGCGGTGTATTGATGATGGATGGATGGATGAATGGATGGATGCATGGATGGATGGAAGAACTTAGTGTCTTGAAGCTGTCAAGTAAATGTTGTGAAAACCACGACTCAAAATTAAGAGTGTTGGTCTGTGTTTGAAATTCTACACTGAGTGTGTGTATTCCAGCTGCTTCACCTTCCCTCCTCCTCCACAGGACTTGCTGTATCAGTGTTCTGGGACCAACGTCCACACTGGCTCTGCTGCTGCTCCTCGACCCAGTAAGACCCCTGGTTAACCACACACACTCTGAACGTCTCCACTGTTGGGTTGGAGCAGGTTTAATTTTATCACTGTAGGAGAATGATTCTCAGTGATGGAACAGACTACAGCTGTAGTACAGATTTCATACCTATAGTTTAATAGTGGAGATTATTCACCAAAAAGGTTGATAACTTCAGATAGAAAGTCAGATTTAGAAGTAAAATTCAATTGGGAACTCATCTAAGGCTGCATTAGGGCATTCATTAGTCTTGTGGTCATCCAGTTTTCACATGTATACAAACTTCTGAACTCTGTGACCCTCAGTGGAAATCTTCAGACACATGACATCTATTTAACTGATAGATGTAGATGCTCCACATGTTTATACTATTGCATCTAAAATAGAAGGTAAATCGTCCCACCTGGTGGACAGATGACACCACTGCAACTTGTCAAATCAACACTGTGTTCATTTGTTTCACCAGAATGTTTCTGTGACTGAGATCCCTGAAGACATGAAACAGAATTTGTGACCAATCAGGTTCCTTTAAGCTTACACACTCTTTATACTATCTAACATGTGTATCTGTCGCTCTTTATCTGTTTTTGGTTTAATCAACCAAACAGCTAAGCTAAAGATAAAGTTGACGTTTACATTGAAAATCTCTGTTAACCTAGTTTTTATCTTTAATTAACATTTCCTCCACACAGTGGTAACGTACACTCCCTTTCTACTTCTGTTTTGTTTCCATAGCTGTTTGATTAGTAAATTGTGTCATCTTGTGAGTTATCAAAGTGCACAACTAGTTGAGTTCAATTAACTAATCTTGAGTGTAGTATAATAGATTAGAAAAAGTGTCAGCTTCTGATGCCAATTTTACCAAAATACCAGCAGAAGCTGTGAGACTTCTCATTTTTACAATAGTCAGTATTAAAAAGTATCTACAGATGTACAGACTGAATCCTACATTCCTTTATCATGGTTGGATTTATTTGGATTACTAGGAAAAGAAACAACCATCACTTCATTTACCATGTATATAAGACGCACAGCAGGTTTACACGTTTGTATTCTCAAACCACACAAAACTAAAGTCTATGGTTAGTTTTAACTTTCTAACAGTGCATCCTGAGAATTCTGCTTAGGATTCAAGGATTCAAGGCCTTTATTTGTCACAAACACAATTATACATTGTATGACGTGCAGCAAAATTCATTATGCACCTTATGCGCTACTTTTGTTTCCTTTAAACCTAATTGAAGGGTTTGAGTGAACTCTTGGATGTTCATTTATTCAACTTATTATAAGTCAAAGTGTCTCAGGTTACAAGAACTCATGTTTTTACATTCTTAAGTGGTCTGAAAACAAAAAAAATAGGTAAAGATTAGGTTTAAAGAGAAAACAGAAAAGAGAAAAACACAAAAGACAACATTTGCAAAAAGTAAACTAGAAAAGATGCATTGATTTCACTCAATCATGGCGTGTATAGCACATCTTATTTTTTGCTTTGCATGCTTCATACTGGAGCTGCTTTTAATGTAGTATTCTAGTTTCATAGGGTTAACACCATGCAACAGGGTTTTTTTTTATCCTAATAAGTATAAATACTCAAGCAAATTGCATCCAAAAAGTGCTGTTACAAATAAAATTTGAGTCAAAAATACTTCAATACATTCTAAAAACAAAAAATAAACTGTGCAGTGCAGTTTTGCCTACCCTTTACCAGATCACGTATACATTTGATCACTTACGCAACAGTGTTAAAGACACTTCTTTTTTTTTTTTTTTAACTTCCCCATTCATGCAGTTTTACAAGGCAGTGAAAGCTACAAAGCGCCCTTCATCAACGCTGTCACATTTATAGCTGTTGTGATTACATTACGGCTGATTGGGCGAGCCCGCGTCACGTGACCGTCCTTCGACAGGAGTTTCCACGACAGCTGAGTAGCAGCTAAATGCGTCTTTTCACCTGTAACATTCATCCTTTTTTCTACTCCTGTGAGACCGACTCGCGCGAAATGGGAGACAAGAAGAGTCCCACGAGGTAAAAAACTTCCGCTCGTAACGTCTGCGCGGACACTTTTAAAGCGGCTCGTCGGTGAGCGGCGGAGCTCGGTGAATGGATGAAGCTGTTTCAGTGAAGTGTTCATGGCGGCTGCTGCTGCTTTAATGTGGGGCAACAAGCCTGAGTAAAACCGCTTCACTGACCGACTCCCGAGCAGGAAATATCTCCTCGAGTGTCGTTTGTCTCGCCATGCGGTCGTTGTTTTTTTGTTTGTTTCTTTTAACCGAACGGGTAGTTTCCTCAGTGTTCTCATTGTAAAATTGTCCGTGTGTGTTTGTTTTGTTTCTGTGTGAAGGCCAAAGCGGCAGTCCAAGCCCTTCTCCGACGATGGGTACTGGGACTGTAGCGTCTGCACGTTCAGGAACAGCGCCGAGGCGTTCAAGTGCATGATGTGTGATGTCAGAAAGGGGACGTCGACTCGGTAAGATGCACTTTAGCTGTTCATTTTTAACCATCAAACCACCGCCGGACTGTTTTAATGGACCTCAGCTGTGTGTGCAGATACCGAGTCTCGCTTTGACAGAGATGCGTGATATAAATTGCACGATAATAATAATAATAATAATAAAAAAAAGTACACCCAGTCGCAGGTTTATTAGGTAATGTCTGTTTTAACAGCCCTGCAATAAATCTTCTCTCCTTGAGGGTTATAGTATACTAGAGGCTGGTTCATTCAACTTTAGGCACACTTCAGAGACCGCTATCAGGAGCTTATCTGTCACTGAGGTCATGTCCTCAGTAGTAGTCTGGGTATTTCAAAAAAATCTATGACATTTCTTTAAGCTTTGACATTGTAGTACTTTGTGTGTTCAGAGAATACAGTCGTCCTCTTATTATTCATGCCCTTCCTTTAAAGAAGGAAAAAAACAGCTATCAGTGAAATAAGTTGAAATTGACAAAAGTGATAATAAATACAAATTTGATGAAAATCATGACATTGCTTTTGAATTGTGGTTCAACAGAAATATTTTTTTAAAAATTACAATAAAATAAACACAAGCATGATGGGACCTGTAAACTGATATTTTGTTGAACAACCCTATGAGCCAATCACTGCAATCAAGTGTTTTCTGTAACTCTCAATCAGACTTCTGCACCTGTTGACAGGTATTTAGATTTTGGCCACTGCTCATCAGCAAAGTGCTCTAATATGTCCGGGACAGTTTTTTTTTTTCTTTTTAATTATTCTTTTCAACCACAATTCAAAAGCAATGTCCTAATTGCAAAATTATAATTTAGCAAATTTTTTATTCATTATTACTTTTTTCAGTTTCTACTTATTTGAGTGACTATTGTGAATTTTGCCTTTTCTTTAATGGAAGGTATGAATACATTTGAGGACGACTGTATACACCTCGACTGTTGTTTGAGAGAAAGACGTATTTTGCTTATTTACAAGTACCACGATGAAAGGAAGTATTAGAAAAAAAATCAAGTGCAAAAGAATAAATCGCATCACAGAAGCCAAAATGAAGATAATGAAGTCGTTCACTTGTCTGTGGCATTGAGAGTCATTTGGCTTCTCTTATACTGTTGTTCACCATTTTGTTGTGCATTCTACAACCACAACTTCACTTGGTTTTCATCTAATTACCACCATGAATAAACATTTGCTATGGCTCTTATTCAAGTTTTAAGGTAACGAGTGATAGCTTTGTTTTTTTTGTTGCCCATGTGAAATTAATAATGGACTTGAAAGTCTACCCACACTTTGTTTTATCATTACATTACAGATTCTGTATAAATGTAATCATTGCAGAACTGCGTATATAGTATTGGAAAGGTGACTAACGTTTCCTCGTTTGCTTACGAGTCAACCAGGACTCCATTCATTCCTATTAGAACCTCTGTGATCTCTGATGTGTCTGCAAAACTCCTCCCTCCACTTATTTTTCTTGTATGTTAGACATTTTTACACTTTTGCGTTAGATTACAGAGAGACTGGACTGTGTGTGCCAGGAAGTTGGATAAAATTAAATGGCTAACAGGCCGCTGTTTGGCTCTGTTGACAGTCCAATTGTGTAAATGTGAAGTTAGAAAAGAAACTTGCTTAGCTAGTTTAACAAATGCTCGCTTTATAACATAATGAGAACACATATATTGTAGTGGTTCCTACATTCTATCACAAAAGGTTTCACTAAGCTGGCTCCACATGTGGCAGAACAACTTCCTTGATTGTGTCTCGGCATGTATTATCAGCTGGGTTTTTGTGGCAGTAGTGTTTATTACAAATATTCCATAAAACTGGATGGTAAAATCAAAAAGTCTCAGACTAGACTGCATTTCGTGACGTTAACCACAAGGAAACACAGTCCATATATTATACAAACTTTCGGACACAAAGCAAAAGTGTGTGGAAACGAGAGGCATTCACTGATAAGCTGATGTGTTGAATTCAGTGTAAGAGGTGGCAAAATGCAGCGGAGCGTTTTTAAATGTAATTCTAAACCACAAATAGGTTCACAGGTTGTCAGTCTTTTCACACTGGCCACGAAGAGATCTCTTCCTGTCAGGTTTTCAGTCAAAGAAGTGGGAGACAAAATCCACAGTCTTAGTTCTGTGCAAAATGCATTTTAAAGTTTAGCAGAAATTAATGTGAGGCTTGGACAGTCAGATTTACTTAAATTAGACCAGGGGTGTCAATCTCAAAAACACAGTGGGCCAAAATTTAAAACCTGAACAAAGTCGCGGGCCAACATTGAACAAATTAACCTTTTAATATGGACCGAAACAAATTTTGCTTTAACATTGAATATGGAACAAGCAACGCTTATTACCATACATTATATATAACTTAATAGTGGAGACATGCAAAATCAAATTATAAATAAAAAAACACATCAGTGGCACAGTGACAGTTGTAGTGTGAAGACGCTATGCCTACTGTCACAGAGGAGAGGGAGTTTCTGGGTCCTGTCCTGATTGACGCGCCAAAACAACAACAGGGCATTGTGGGATTTGTAGTATTAGCGGTGAATGCGCTGTACAGTATAATACCGGGGGCAGCTCTAGTAGTCATTTGGTATTGTCTCGCGGGCCAAATATAATTACAAAGCGGGCCAGAGTTTGACACCCCTGAATTAGACTGCCATTTCAGAGTTGATCCTGTGGTGTGAAATTCCACCTTTATGTTACTGTGCCTTACTTGTTGCTCAAAAAGGAAAAACTGTCCAGGAAAACAGAAGCAGGACATGACATGTTTAATATTGTAATTTTAGTAATATTCCCACTTATTCAGACTGCTACAGGTAGCAGCCGGCCATGTCTGCTGTGCATTCCAACATAGATTGCTCTTCGACATCTGCTAACAAATGTGTCAATATCTATTGACTATGTGAAACAACCACCTCTGAGCAGCCTACACACCGAAAATGTCAAGTTTTGATTTGGATTGTGCAATACAGAAGGCCTGCCTGGTTCTTTTGGTCAAGTTGCCTTTTTGATGACAGTGCTAACCTCCTTGCATGCAAATTTTACGTCAAATTATCCTGTTTTGCACATGCATTGTCGCTGCATCCTTCGCTTGTGCATCGTCTCCTGGTGTTTAACACGAGGGAATGCATTTCTTTAGGGATGGATGGATGGTTAACCGCAGCCACAGTAGAGAGGCTACTCAGAGGCTCACAGTTTCTACTGTCCAGTTTTATGGAATATGTGCATGGAACATTACTGTCACTAAAACAGGGGAGAAATAGGTGAGGAGGTTATCCTGCCATATGTGGAGCCAAGACTCTGTTGGAGGATGTAAGAACCACTTCAGTATTTGTGTTCTCTGCATCCTGCACAGCTGGCAGCCGTTAAACTAGCTAAACAAATTCTGTTCTAATTTACATGATGTGACTCCACGTAGTCAACAACTGATCACTCCAATTTGTTTTTTAACTTCCTGGCACACACAGTCCGGTCTCACCGTAATCTACAGCGAAAATGAACATTTTTCAACATACTCAAGACAAAATGGAAAGAGGAGGTTTGCAGACACATCGGGGTTCTCATAGGGATGAATGGAGTTTCGGTTGATTGGTGTACAAACACAGACCTGTGTTGAAATTAAGTGTAAGCCTCATTACACTTAGGACGATTGAGATTGGTTTAAAGAAACCAGCAGGTTTTTTTTCCCCCCTTCAGCACAATGATAATGAGGTGCATCCAGACCATTCTCCAAAACCACCTTACACAAGACTATTTAAAGGCAAAGTCAGCAATCGTAAATCAGTACGTATGCTGTCAAATTCAGCGAGTATTTCCTCGTGGTCTGTTGGCTATCCATCCTGTGTTTGTATTGATAAAATTCCAGCGTTTCTACACAGCCTTGGCTCTGTAAATGATAAATAATTTGGTTTGGACTGATTTGTTTAACATTATTCCAGAGTTTATCGTGCACATTTTGTGTTTTTCTCTTCTGGATGCTTCAGATTGTGCTTGAGTGGAGAGGAGGGGTAGTGGGAGTGGCAGGAATGGTAACTCTGGCTCATACTAATGATCTAAACATACCAGCTAGCTAAATATCAACAATCTTCCTCCACAGTCAGACTCCACCTGTAACCTTTTGTCAACATTTTAAGGAGCTATGGTCAAAATCAGTCAGAAATATGCATTTTATTTAATCAAGTGAACTGGTCATACCGAATGCACACACAGTTCCGCGTTGTAAAGCACATTCTAACCCTACTTGCAGGTTCAGTGATTTAAATATCACAAAGCCAACATCTGTTTTGTTTTTTGTTTTTTTCAGAAAACCACGGCCTGTCTCTCAGCTGGTTGCCCAGCAAGTAAATCAGCAGTTTGCACCACCAACACATCCCAAAAAGGAGAAGAAAGAAAAATCAGAGAAAGATAAAAGCGATAAAGAACCTTCACTGAAAAAGAAAAGCCATAAAAAGATGAGGTAATTGATTCATGCTGTCAAAAGAAATGGCTGACTAGATCTTGCTGCTGGTTTTTTGACACCACTTAAATATTGCAGTGTTCTCTACTAGTTTCTTTCACATCCTGTTTTCTGTTTGTCTCGTCACCAGGCCCCGGTTAAAAAACGTAGACAGGAGCAGCGCCCAGCACCTGGAGGTCACAGTTGGAGACTTGACTGTAATAATCACAGACTTTAAGGAGAAAGCCAAACCCACGTCCACTTCAACGAGTGCTGCCTCAGCAGACCAACACAGTCAAAGCGGCTCGAGCTCCGATAACACTGAACGAGGCGTCTCCAGATGCTCTTCGCCCCGCGGTGAAGGCTCGTCGGTCAACGGAGAGACGCACTAACCTTCAAACCTTCACACTCCCAGTCAGCACAACCCCTTCTTCTGCACTCTCAACAGCCTCAACCAGAGATTAAACTTCAAAATGCACGTTTTTTGTTTTTTTTTTGTTAATAATACTATAAATGCCAATCATGATAGCATTCACTTTCCAATTTGGGGTTGTATTTTCCACAGCCTTCCCACGGCGATAAGGAATTCAGGAGTCAGGATGCTGTATGCTGCACACTCAATACTCAGAGAACTGATGCAGCAACTCTCATCATGATGAACTGAGAAAAGGAACAGTAGCATTAAATCCCGGATGTCGGGTGTTGTGGTAACTCGCGATTTAACACCTCAGCGTCGCGTCGGCATCACATTCAGTTGGTCGTCGCTGCACAGAACACACGATGCATTATGAAAGAAATGTGAAGAAGTCATCTCAGAATTGTAGTTTATCCGTGAATTCATTATTTGCACTTAATGGCATCCTGTGTTCACCATAACATTGTTTTTAGCATTATTTCTACTTTGCCATTATCAGTAATCCTAACACTGTTGGTTACTGGCCTTATCCAGCTCTCATTTTTACAACATTGGATGCAATAATTTGTTTTACTGTCTAACGTTTGAGTACAAATATTGAACAGTTATTCTAAGTCTGCTTCTCCTTCACTTGGTAGAGTTAAGCATGATTTAATCTATAGAATGGTTTATATTGTAAAATAATGTTGAATAAAATAAGATGTAGATACTTGAACATGTTCTTTTTTTAAATACTTTTTCTACTGTTGAAGCACAGTTTGGAGGTACTTTCATACTTTCACTTGCTAGTTTACATTTTTATCTGCCTGCCTACAGATTAGACTGTAATCCACTGCATTTATTAAACAGAATTGGTGCATATTAGGATTTTACAAACAAAACACTGTTATTATCTACAATGTGATTCATTAGTACATTAAAAATGCTGCTTAAATGCATCAGTAGTTATAATCAAGTGATGCATTTACTCTCGATGCTTGAAGTGCTTGTTGAAAGCAGAAGTTTACATACACTTCATAAAAAGACCAAACCTTTTTTTTTCTCTCTCTCTCTCTCTGACATTAAATGAGACTAATCTTTTCCTGTTTTCAGTCAGGTAGGATTACCAAAAGAGAACTTTACATTACTTTCTTCAAAGTCAGAAGTTTACATACATTTCCTTAGTATTACCTTAAAACCGTATGACTTGGGTAAAATGTTTTGGGTCCACAAACTTCTCACAACAGTTTGATAGAATTCTGGCCCATTCCTCCTGACAGAACTGATGTGACTGAGTCAGGTTTGTTGGCCACTTTGCTCTGCCCACAAATTTTCTTGAGGATTGAGATCAGGGCTTTGTGATGGCCACTCCAAAACACTGACTTTGTTGTCTTGAAGCCACTTTGTAACTAATTTGGCAGTATGCTTAAGGTCATTGTCCTTTTGGAAGACCCATTTGCACCCAAGCTTTAACTTCCTGGCTGATGTCTTGAGATGTTGCTTCAATATTTCCACATAATGTTCTTTCCTCATGAACCATGAGGTGCACTGCACACCAGTCCCTCCTGCAGCAAAACACCCCCACAGCATGATGCTGCCACCCCCGTACTTCACAGCTAAGATGGTGTTCTCAGGCTTGCAAGCTTCCCCCTTTTTCCTCCAAATGTAACTGTAATGGCAATTTTCAATGCCCTAATGTCCTTTAATTGCCGTTACTGCACAGGTGGAGCAGGAGTGAACCAACCCAAAACAGAATTTCCGGTCCGTATACTTGCCATTAGTAAATGGTTTATTTGACAATATGCAAAGATGAAAATACAGCAGTTTTTCTATGGTGAATTTGGTATATATCTGTACTGGTCTGATGCGGGTCTGCTGAGAACTGTGTGCCCTCCCTCCTATCTATACACCGCTTAATCCTCATTAGGGTCGCCGGGGGGGCTGGAGCCTATCCCAGCTGACTTAGGGTGAAGGCAGGGGACACCTTGGACAGGTCACCAGTCTATCACAGGGCATCTTTATATACAGTGTATGTAAACTTCTGGTTCCAACTGTAGATGTGGTTGACTTTTGCACACAAGGAATCTTTTAATGTGGGACATTTTCTTGTGACAAGGTATTTTTACATTGTAATATTAATACTTAAAGGATCTGAGTACTTCTTTCACTACTGCATGAAATGTGTTTCTAAAATGTGTGGATATAACTGCTGAATTCAATAGTCACAGCATCTGTGCATTCCTATTATTGTAGTACTTAGACGTTTCCTTTAATTTGGCTTTACTTGGGTTGATACTGTTGGGGATCATTTTTCTTTTTTTTTAATGTGTGGCTGGGTGTTCCCACCATTGTGGTTTTCATCCTGCGTGCTATAATTATTGTAGCTTAGAAGTCAGAAGTCTGCTTACTGTACACACACGCGCGCGCGCGCGCGCACACACACACACACACACACACACTCACACACACACACACTCACACACACACAGTGGCAGATGGCTGATCAGAGGTAACACGTGTAATACAAGTGGGTGGGGCGGAACACTGTAAACACCAACTGTGCTCCTCGGCTTACCTTGTGACTTGATTTATGGGGTAGATTAGTTAGCTGCTCGTACAATCAGATGGTACCTGGCTAAGAGCACCGACAATGTTTCTTTAGCGCATCTAACCTGAAGCGCAAAATGCGATGCTATCTCCACGCATTTCTCCTGTGCGTGCTCCTCAGCCTCCTCTCGCTGCTGTACGTGTTCAGCCAGCTCGCCTCCACCCTGGAGGACGCGGACGGCTGGGCTGCGGGACAACACGGGGTACCCGACCGGAGCGGGCACGAGAGCGGCCGTCTTCTCAGGAAAATGCCGGGACTGGCAGGCCTCCGAGACCGCGAAGACAGGTAGCCTAGCGGGCTGTGTTGCCTGATTTTATGTCACAGCTAGCAGCAGTTAGCTTGAGCTGTTAGCTAGACCTGCTGAATTAGCTCCAGTTCAAGAATTAACGTTAGCTTGATCTTTGTAGCTACTGTTTGCTAACGTTAGCAAGTTGTAGAAGCTACTTTAGAATAGAACAGAACTTTATTGATCCCTTTGGTGGAAACCTCAGGGAAATTGTTGTTTAATGTTAGCTCCATAGTAATTTAACCATTTGCTGGAGGGGAAAAAAAATACACATTTATTTATACCGTTTTCCTTCCACCCCAGGTAGTTTGTATGTTGACTTGTGCCACCTGTGAGCTATGTGGATAATTTATCAGCTTAACCTTACTGCCAACTAACTCATTAACGTTAGCTGTAGGCTGGATTTAAAGGACCACCACCTGTTTAACTAATCTAGGAGCTACTTCAGGAGAGATCTAATCGCTACACACAGAATTCTGATGTCTTTAAGACTTATTTAACATTGAGGATCCAAAAGACCATGTTTTTATTCTGTCAGGTGTAAGTCACTATCAGTTTCTTACTGGAATCCCTATTGGAGACTGCCTGCTGATGTTTGTGGAGTGAACTGCTTATTGGAATCATCTCTTAGGTATGACTAATTTTGTGAACCTTTATACCAGTGATCAATATCAATAATCAACTTTCACCTACTTCCCAGGTACACAGTTCAGAATCAAAGCTGTGTTGTTGCTGTTTTCACAGTGTTCCTTGTGACTACTCTTGACTTCTTGAAGTCGTAACCACCACGTCATGATGATGTTCACTTATAGACGCCAGCAGTATCTAATCAGCTGGCTCTTTATTTTAATCATCTGTAATCCTATCTGTAATACCTTTATGGATGTAGATGTGGCATTAGTTTGTCTTGAATCAGAGTCTGGAGAGACCGATCAAGGAGGTCTGAGGGCTTTCTTGAATCTGTCTTGCTGGATACAGTCTTTCAGATATATGGCATGTATACAGAGACATGATTGAAAGTTGGCTATGTGCTCTATAAAAAAGTTTGACAAGTTCCATTTATGATTTCCAAACTTGAAAGCAGTAGTTACAACGAGCGCTTGGAGGCAGCACAAAGCCTGAGTGATAGTTCTGTTCCGCATCCTCCATTAAATCTAATGACAGTTCCAACCCTACAGCGCTGAGCACCAGTCAGCTGAGACTACTGATGTTTTCATTACTTTGCTGTCTCCTGCACTTGCCAGTAGACGCATGCTGCTGTAAACATAGATGTCAGGGTTAAATACTGATTCATTTAACTTTGTCTCGGCCCTTAGTCGGAGGTCAGGCTCTTCCGTCAAGAATCACAGTGACGAGAGGAGTCACCTGGCTGTGGTGGCCTGTGGCCCCAGGCTGGAGGAAACTCTCACTATGTTGAAGTCTGCCGTTCTCTTCAGCAAAAAGCCTCTGCATTTTTACATCTTTGCTGAGGAAGAACTACACAACAACTTCAGAGATGCTGTAAGTGTGCTCCCCAACAACACCTTTGTATGTACTGTATTCATTTGCTGTTATGCACTGTTATGACTCAATAAGTGTGAATGTTGTCTCATATCACTGACAACTGGCATGTACAGAATCCCATTAAGAAGATACGATGAAAACCATTGCACAAGTTGGAACAGTCACACCATTAGCTCGTCCTGTGGTTTTAAAGTGTTTAAGTCTTCTCTTGTTTTGCAGTTTTTGTAACTTTTTGGCCCAAAGGCAAAGATCTAGATTTAGAAAAGAGAACAAAAAAAGATAAAACTGTACCTTTGGATACTGTTGTTCCATATTTTCTTGTGCCTATCTTTTCTTGAAGCTGGCATCATGGCCTCGAACAGTTCAGGCCAAGTTCAACTTCACCGTCTACCCCATCACTTTTCCCGAGGACAATGCAAAAGAATGGAAGAAGCTCTTCAAACCTTGTGCCTCTCAGAGACTCTTCCTGCCAGTAGGTCTACACTCATCCTTCACTTGTTTGTTTTGTGGCAAGCACACTTGTGCAAGAATGTTCTGTTAAGTTTCCCATTTGTTTGTTTTTCAGCTAATCCTGAAAGAGGTGGACTCCTTGCTTTATGTAGACACAGATATTCTTTTTCTGCAACCAGTAGAGGACATCTGGGCCCTGCTCTCTCAGTTCAATTCAAGCCAGTTAGCTGCCATGGCTCCAGAGCACGAGGAGCCACGTATCGGCTGGTACAACCGTTTTGCCCGTCACCCGTACTATGGCAAGACAGGCATCAACTCAGGGGTCATGCTCATGAACATGACACGCCTCAGGGAGAAATTTTTCAAGGTAATTTTGTTGTTTGTTTGCCGCTGTCAACTGCTTCTGAGGTTTTATACTTCATAATGTAATGCAATGTAATGTCTCTGTTGTGTTATGCTTTCATGATGTTCATTCATTCAGTGTACAGTACAAAAAATAGCTAAACAATTTAAAAAAAAATGTGTGGTAACTCGGACTAGCTGTTTTTCACAATTCCACATGTTATATTCAGTTAATGACCGAAACATGTAAAGATGTGGGCACTATTTTGACACTGAAGAATTAAAAATGTTGAGGGAGAAGCTGCACTGCACTACCAACATCAACCAGCTGATGTCACTCTTGTAATTCCCTTCTCATCTTCCCAGTGAGCCTGTTTGTTTGACAGATAAACCTTTTCTGTAGAGTTGATGTGAAGTGTTTACCAAAGGGTTCATTGTCCAGAATTGCAGGTTTATGGGGTTTTTTTGTATTCAAAATGACACAAATGCTCTGTGATTGCTGTCTGATTGCAGAATGACATGACAGCAGCTTCACTGCAGTGGGAGGAAATTCTGATGCCCCTTCTCCAGAAGTATAAACTCAATATCACATGGGGTGACCAGGACCTTCTAAACATCATATTTCATCAAAACCCAGGTTTGTGCAACCACAGCATTATTTTTGAGTCATTAATTCAGGTCACGAGCAATGTTTCATTTAAGATGTTTATTGTTTGAGACATTTCCTATCAAATACATTTTTGAAGGATTTTAATGGAGTGTTATTGAATAAAACTCAGTTATCTGTAATCTGTGGTAACTCAGTTGTGTCTCTTGCTGTTTTACAGAAAGCCTATATGTGTTCCCCTGCCAGTGGAACTACCGTCCAGACCACTGCATCTACGGCAGCAACTGTAAACAGGCTGAAGAAGAAGGTGTCTTCATTCTCCATGGTAACAGAGGAGTTTATCATGATGACAAGCAGCCAGCATTTCGAGCAGTCTATGAAGCCATACAAAAGGTACCGACAGCCTCACAGAAATACCCCATAGTGCACTGACATGAACAAAATTGCCTTTACTCAAAGTGTTCTTGTTCGTAACCAAACGCTATGTCTTGTTAAATATATCTGAAAACGATGGAATATATTTATTCTTCCAAGAGTTTTTAGTGAGATATTCCAGACGCAGCTGAGTGGAGCACTTAATGCAAGAAGAAATAAAGTTTGAAAGGCTTTGTTTATTCCACAGATGAGGGATCATTTTATAGACTTTGTCTCTGGTGCCTCTGTTTCTTTGGAGGGCTGTTGTGTGGGCAGACTAGACTATTTGGAGGAACATTTGCTAGTCATTACATTATCAATAGGTACTCCAGGTCATTGCTTTTCTCTTATGGATGCTTCTGTCCACCAGTGCTTAATCAATAGCCTGTTAAACATTTCCGTCATCCTGTCTTGGGTCTCCCCTCCTGATTTCACCCGGTGGAATACTTGCTTTTAGTTGTGTGCTGGCTTGTGAGGCTAAAATTCTCTACATTTGTTGCAGAGTTGATGCACCTTTATAATATTATTCAGATATTTCTGTTGGTATTTCGGACTGGGTCAAAAGAGGCCCTTGGTAGGAAAACCTACAGTTATTCATAACTCAGTAAATTCCATCATGACCTATGAATGCATGACAAAACCAAATCCTTTCAAATTTTTAGGCTTATTCTGTCGTTGTTTAGAATTAAATATAGCTGCCTTTCTGTATATACGAACATTTAAAACACAAAATGTTTTGATTTAAAGGAGCAAATGTCATGAAAAAAACTGTACTGTACTTTCCAACTTCTCAGGCCTGTCTGTGGCCTTCAACACAAGGTCATTCCTTCCTACTAAACATATAAATCTCCAAGTCTGTGTGTAACTGACTAAGAATAAACTCCAGTGCCCATGTTTACTGTTATAAAGACACACATCACCCTGTGTCACATATAACAGGTTTTGATTACTGAGGTGATACAGTTCATCGCTGGTTTTGGTGTTGTTTTGAGATGATGTTTTCTTGGGTCTGTGCTAAAGCTTCTGTTCACATGTTTAGAATAGCTGATGAGGTTCGGCTGTGTCTTGACACCTCCTGTAAAAACTTCTTTAAGTTTGTTAGATGTGCTACAGAGCACTGTGCTTCAAAATCAGGATAGAACTTGGATTCTAAAAGTATGGCGCCTGTCAAATTTACTTTAAATGCGTTCCAGCTTGTAGAGTTTAAAAGCTCATTACATTTTCTTCATCAGTGAGAAAGAAAATCAGCCCGAGAGCTCTCTCGCTGTTTCGCTGGTGGCTTGCCTTCGATCTTCTATTGTTGATTTCAGCACAACGGTCAACATGCAGGCAGCAATCGGGGGAGCAAGGGAAGCTTCATTAGCTGGTCTCCATCCATTACCGCCACAGGGCCTAGCCTGGCCACTATCAGTACGGGCAATGTTCTCAGCCATTAAGTAAACGAGCAGGCTTCATTATGGGGCACTCGGCCCTCATGCCTCCATCAGTCTCTCTGACAGCACAAACACACATACAGCACATATACCAGACTCACCCGATTTTAGGAGGAAGAGGAGTGCTGCTGTTTGTCATTAGCGAGCGCAACACATATCCCATATCATCCAGATGAATGGAGGAGAAGGGGCTTTATCGTACAGTTAGACAACCAAAGAGTGTTTCATTCTTTGTTTTTTTTTATTTTTGATTTTTTTATTTAGGTTATGTTTTGTTGAAGTTTTTATCAGCTCTTCCTGTTGCTTCATCTCCCTCGGTCCCCTCCCACTTTGTTCCCACTCAGTCCTTTGAGGACAGCATCCTAAAGCCTGGAGCTGGCAATTCTGGAAGAAAGTCTCATTTCCATCCAACCAAGAGATCCTTAGTCAGCCCAGCTCCCAAGGCAGGCTCTCTCAGCCAGCAGAGGAACTTGCAATAAAGGGCACTACCATTATCCAGCCAAGCCCACAGAAGAGTTGTAAAATTTTTAGTGCTGATGCTAGTTTGAGACATCATGATGGCTGTGTGGACAACGCACCAGCCACATCCACATAAAAATCGATAGGAGGCTGTTAATGGTGCTTTATTGCCTGCCGCAGTATATGAAAGATAATAAAGAAAGCGTGCTTTGAGTAACATAATGCTTTGCCAAACTGAAGTCAAATAAGATGTTGTAAAAGAGTGATTTCTTTTATTTACTAGAGCAATAAAAATTGGGCGTATCTCAATATAAAAAATGAAAGGCCCACAGCTTTATTTGCATACTGTACGTGACAAAAGCCTTGGCTGCTAATATTAACTGACTGAAGAGCTGGATGGGTTTTTTTTTTCTTTGCTGTTTACTTGGTGACACAAAAGCATACAATAATGAAGCATATCTGGAATGCTGCAGCTGTGGCTTTTTACCAGTGTTGTCACGCCTTACTAAGCCCATTTGTGTGTAGTTGTGGTCATAGATATTCATCATCCAAACCCACTGAATTGACAGATATGAATCAAATGCAGAATGTTATTGTCTTGAACTGACAGTGACAAATGGGGTACCTAATTCACGTGATTTGAATGCAGCTCTCATTGTCCCGTCGTGGCTGTCACAGGAGGCAACAGGTGTAGTGCGCGCACACTTGTGCTTGATTTTCTACAAAAACATGTTTTCGATCTTTTCTGTGTAATACCAGGAGCAAAGGAGGAGCTGAATTTAAAGTGGGTGCAGCAAGCAGAGGCACAGCGATGTGATGAAGTCTGGTCTATATTAGTAGATCGCTGATATCAGAGATATAATACCTGCACGTGTTTCTCTTTATCCCAGTACCCATTCGGTGAGAACATGGAGGCTTCGCTGCTTCAGCCGCTGGAGGCGTCGCTGCAGACAACCACACACACCTACTGTGGCAGGGCCAGCCACCTGTTTACCAAGAGGTTAAAACAGAGCATCATGTCTGTTCAACAGGACGCCACAAAAAGAAGATGATGGGGTCAGCATTTCCGTGAAAAGTGCCTAATGTCTCTCTGTTAGCAGAGACCTAGATTTGAGTTACTCCTGTGGAGACGATGAGCTGGATGACAGACTCAGGTCAACACCGAACCATCATTTGTTTACAAGCTTCATATTAAGACACTGGAAAAGGAGTTGGATAAGCTGCAGATCAGGCTTCAGTTTTTAAGTGTTGATTCATATCTGTCCAGTGAACTCACAGTCAGGTCCCTAATGATTTCTTACAATGGTGGAAAATGCACTGAATCCAGTTTTTGGACTTGATTGCAGACAAGAAAGACATTTTCCTTTATTCCAGACAATCAGGTGGGTTTTTTTTTTTTTTGTAAGACATAATCTACGCTCACTTTGTACAATTGTCTAAGGATTTTGTGGGAGAAAAAAAAAAGAAATCCAGAGTTATCAAGAGTATTTTATTAGAGGTTTAATATAATTCTGCCAACAGGTTGTGTTTTCATGTTGTTTCCCTGCAGTATATTACATAAAAGGGTTGTTTCTAGGTACGTGATAGGCACATGAAAATGTTCCGTTTTATTTAACGCAACATGTGCTCAATGACGATACTTTAAACGTATAGAATCTGACCAGTATTTATTGTTGTTGGACATCTGTGATAAGAAGCACTTTTTATGTCTTAGCCTCATGTTAAATTCTTATGTTACCATTTCATGTACTCCAATAAGGGAGTTTGCAATACTTTCTTTTTTTACTGTACATTAAATCAATCGTTTTGGTAACTTTACCAATAAAACCACATTTTCCAATAACTGGTAGAATGTCATAAAGAGCCGTTATTTTCTAATTAAACCAGCCAGCGTTACAATATCTGCTCTTTGATGTGTGTGTGTCAAAACATTTGCACAACTGATTTCAGGATTGTGAGGACACAAAGTCGTACCTGTGATTTGAGTGTTTTGCTGTAAAGATGGGATAAATATTTAAACACGTGGTGGATATTTTATTAATAAAAACATTTATAATGATACCTAGGAGGCAGTAAGTGCTATCTGTGAAAAAATAGTAATACTAATGTCATATCAGGTGAATGTGACACAGTTGTAAAGTGTAAGATGATGGTTGGAGAGTTCCTAATGTCGCTCTAAAAGCAAATATACAGTGTTTTGAGCAGAGCCTTTTAAAATAAGAAAAATGAAGCAAGTTTAACAGTTATGTTTTTGTAATAAGGTCAATTAATTCTGGTGTAATGAAATTATTTTCATACGAATTCCTGAAGGTTTAATTTGGCACATTCTGTTCTCATTTTCTTGCAGTTAAATTTGTATTCGTATGAAGTCTTTTGCCATCATAACCGCTTTGCATAAAGTCTACTTGTTGCCCACTCACTCCACACAAAGACTGAGCATGAGCCATGTCCTAGAAAGCAGGAGCAGCAAGCTGAAAATAAGAAATCAATGTGTGAATGTGAAAGACTTCAGAAAGTGTTGTTAGATGGCCAAAAAGGAGCTGATGTGTCTGGGTCAGTAGCCTCTGGCTCTTCATTTCACAGGCAGATTGACACGCGTGCCTGGAATAGGCAATAGGTCTGTGTGATGAATTTAAAATGGTTTCTATGCTAAGCTGCGAGATATATCCGTTTTCTTGTCAAGGAATTGTTAAGTGGGCAGTGGGTGAGGAAAGCGCTTTCTGTGTTTTAGGAAAGAATGATCTCCTCACAAGTTTTACTAGTTATCTCTCAAGCTCAGTTTCATGATGTGAAGTCGGTAGATACGCAGCACAGCAGTGATTCCAGGAGATTAGCATATTAGGCGACTAATTAGCGTATGTAAGCTAATGAGGAGTGACAAAATGTTAGGGTTATGTTTATTTCATCAGGAAAACTTGTCGGAATGGTATATCACTCCAAACCTCAGGGCATGTTACTCCCACTCAGGGTTGTCTGAATCGCTACAGGCTATAAGGAAGGCTTATAAATTGGCACTGGTTCATCATTTTAGTGAAGAACTTGTACGATACAGTGTCATCTGCAAAGGGTTAAACCAGTACATATTGTTCTTGTACACACACACAAAAAAAAATCACAAGAGGTCCATTTATTTCTCCCATGGAGTAATTATGCATTTACAGAGAAATATTCAGTGCTACTGAATACCTTGGAGCAAGCCTTAGTAAGATGGATGTTTACAATTTCAAAGTGCAAAGCATATTCGGTTTTTAGTGGGAAAGGCTAATGCTGCTACAGCCTGGTTTTACTCCCCCTGAGTATAATGGTGATTGAGATCTCATTCTCTTTCGATCTAACAGGAACTGCCAATGGATTATTCATGTTATTGCTTGCACCACTTGGTCTCCGCGATGCTCAATAGCGATTTAAAGCACAGGCATAAATTAGAACAATCAGAGGCAAAATGCCCCCGCAACACAGAGCAAGAAGGTTTATAAAGTATGGATTGTGAAATATTTGGCAGTGCAAAGTCAGCAACATCCTTTTTACCTGAGGAACGTGTGCAGCTTACATCCACAGCAGTTATGTGCAAAAGACATACTGAGTTTCAAGATGACAGGGTCTGTTTTTCACAGTGCAGAGTCCATTACATCTGTTGTTGATGTGAAAATGATGTGCACTCTCGCTACAATTCAGAGTGTCCACTAAAAAATGTGTGTGCACACAATGCACACCGTTTTCTCAGAAGTATTGCACGGCTGCTCTTTAGATGTCGAGTGGGGAAAGTTTATATGATTTGTAACTCAATGGAATGGAAAAAGAAAGGAAAATGTAATATATTTGGAGCCATAATTGGAATCTAATTTCCCTTAGACAAAACTCATTTATCAAGGTAGTTTTAAATGTTATTAATCGAGTTAAAGTGAAAGTACTCAGACCTTGCCTTTTTGCACATTTAACTGTGCTGTGGATTTGATTTTTAATGGCTGCAGTTACAGTAATTTTTTTCCACACTCTGTGACTCATAATAACAAAGTGAAAAAGAAAATGTCTTATGTCCAGAAGTGTTCAGTTTAGTATTCTGCAGGAGACTCTTTTGCAGTAATTATCTTACCACTGTTTTCTGGGGGGTAAGTCTCCACAACATTTGCACACATGGATTAGTGCAGTTTATGAGAGTCCTCCTGGCAGATCCGCACAAGCTCTGGCAGACTGCAGCGGACGCGTTGTGAACTGCTATCTTCAGGTCACTCCACAGATGTAGCCTCGGCCTTGGCTGGGCCACTTAGGGACAGTCAGAGAATTGCCCTCAAGCGGTTCCAGCATTGTCCTGACTGTACACTTCGGCTCACTGTTGTGCTGAATGGCCATGTGCTCTGTGGAGCAGCATCCTCCCTGTCACTGCTGCTGAGAAACTTCCCTTTAGCATTGTCCTTCCATCACCTTTTACTATAGGGATAGTATTAGCCAGATGATGAGCAGTGCCTCATGTTTACCGGACATAATTCTTATGGTTCAATTTTTGTATTGTCAGAAAAAGAATCTTTGCACATTGCACTGCCTTCTTCTTGCCTTCTGCTATCTGCATGTTACTGTTTTCAAAATCATATTTACTGACAACCTACACTCTGAAAGAAAAATTTCAAGATTTCAAGATTTGGATTGTACCATAATGCATTCCTGCTTGATTATCATTATTTTTTTTCTGTTGTTGTTATTGAACTAGCCATTGTAATGACAGTGCTAGTCTCCTCCGAATGTTCCACCAATTCTCCGCCCCTAGTTTGCAAGGAAACTGTTGGTGTCTCCTGGGTTTAGCACCGCCCAAGAAGACTGTCCATCCATCCATCATCTATACACTGCTTAATTCTCACTGGGGTCACAGGGGGGCTGGAGTCTATCCCAACAGGGGACACCCTGGACAGGTCACCAGTCTATCACAGGGCTACATGTAGAAACAATCAAACACACTCACATTCACACCTACGGACAATTTAGAATCACCAATTAACCTCAACATGCTTTTGGACTGTGTGGGAGGAAGCCGGAGAACCCACGCTGCACAGGGAGAACATGCAAATTCCACGCAGAAAGATCCTAACCGGCTCCCAAGATGACTGTGATTACCTTAAACACAGACTGCATACTTTTGTCCCCGATAGCAGAATGATGATGAGGTAGAGTCAGACCATTCTCGAGTGCTGACACAGCACTGTGCAGATAGGTCTGGCTCTGCAAAACTCAGGTGCTTGTTGCTCAATTATTTAGTGTGTCTGCACGGCCAACTCTGAAAAAGAGTTCTAGTGATTTCAAAATGCCCTCATTTTACAATTACTGAGATCACCGTGCTCCTGAGAACACTCGAAGCTTTAGAACAGGTTGATACCTTTGCCCTGAACCACATCTCAGAACACATTTGTAGTAGAGAGTTCATTGATTAGCTTTTGTCCTGACATTATGTCAAGGTTTCAGTCACATTATAGTAACATCTCAAGGATAATTAAAGCAACAGGATGCACCTTTTTGAGTGTGGCAGCAAAGAATCTATATATTTTTGTGAATAAGAGATTTCATTGTCAGTTTATTTTTTCCATAAAGTTCCAAAAACATGTTTTGACTTTGTCATTATGGGTTATTGACTGTAGTTTCATAAAAAATGTTTTTATTTAAAACGATATCTACAATCGAGTGTGTGCAATGTGTGTCTAAATGTTTTCTGAATTCACTGTGTATACACATTTACTGTATATTTACTCTGTGCAAGCATGCAGTGAACCACCAAATGAGCTAAAACAGGCATCGGAGATGAGTCTGTGTTTTTACACGACCAAACACACAACAGGCATTACAATGTTCATTTATTGCATTAATATCAAAAATGTTTATGAATGGGGCTGCAAGGTGGTTAGCACCGTTGCCTCACAGCTAGAAGGTCGCCGGTTCACGTCCCCGTGAGGACACCTGGGATCTCTGCATGGAGTTTGCATGTTCTCACCGTGCAGCGTGGGTTCTCTCTGGGTTCTCCAGCTTCCTCCCACACAGTCCAAAAACATGTTGAGGTTAACTGGTGATTCTGTCTCTAAGTGTAGCCCTGTGATAGACTGGTGACCTGTCCAGGGTGTCCCTTGAATTGGCCCTAGGTCAGCTGGGATAGACTCCAAACCCCCGCAACCCTAGTGAGGATTAAGTGGTGTATAGATAATGGATGGATGGATGGGTTTAAAGCAGGAAGAGCCTTAAGATCACCTAAAAGGGGGCTTGTGCGGCCTTTATAGATACTCAATATGTGACGGTAAGCACAAGTTTTATTCATTAGGGGTATCTCTGAAGAATGGCCCTCAGTCTGCTCAGTTTGCAAGACAGCACTTCTGACTGAGGATAAGACTCCAATTAGTCAAGACAAGAGCCTGACAGTCAGTCATGTATCTTGTCAGTTTGATAAACTGAACAAAGGGACAACCCAGAGTGGGGATGAGAGGAAAGTAAGTAAGTTTATCACAGCCGAATGGACCAGGTAGAAAAATCTGCTTCTTCCCCCTCCATCCATCTCCTCCGCACTCCACCTTTCCTGCTGCAGAAGGATATCATTTAGGTTGTGAACATTTTGATCAATAGTACATTTGCCTGCGCTGCTGAGACAGGTATAATTGTGCTGTATGTCAAGTTTTAAAACAATTAACGTAATTTACAGTTGAGCATTAGCTATGCATGGATCCTTCAGTATCATGCTGAGAAGTGGATTTGCCACTGTAAGCAGAACACGATGAGAAATAGGCATATGCAAATAAAATGAAATTGCCAGTTGAGTGCCTACACTCAGAAACTATGGATATCACTTTGTAATGAAATTAAGTCTATTTCAGCCTTTTTATGATATGGGAGCTGTATAAGGTTTGGACACTGATTTAATTTTTCTTTGTGCAAAAGTTTCTTCACAGGACGTCTCGACTGAACTGAGATTTAAAGAAGTTAAACTTTGTGGCCATTTGATGTTCTGTGATGCTGTGTTTAGTTAGAGCTTTGAACTAAATGTTAATGTTGAATGACAGCGTTAACATGCTTATGTTCAGGTATAATGTTTG